CGGACGTTTGGCGGCCACTTTGGAATTTGTCTGGCCCCTGTACACGCTCAGGCCCCATTTGCTCTGTCGTCTTCGGAATACATGTATTCAACCTCACTTCTGCCTTCTTCCACTCTATGGGAAGCCTCGGAACGCTACAGGTACACTAAGCATTCTTCACAAGATGGAAAGTTTCGTGCATAATATTTCGTTTGTGGTCAGCAGGTGTGTGACGTGTGCTCAACCCCCTTTCTCGCCCTAAATTAGATGTATGTATTTGCTCAAATTAATGTATTCTTTAACATGGTGGAAAGTCTCGTGAAGCTACGAATAAGACTGTAGCCTCTCGAGATTTCCCAATGGGTAGGAGAAGGCAACAAGTGGAGCTGAATGCGTGTATTACAGAGCAAACAAGAGGCTAGGCCCAACCTTGGCTCGAAGACCAGTCTTACTGGAACCATCAGACATTAGGCGGTCATATAAGTAAAGTTATACAGCGTCGACAATCACGTGTTACCCACAAAGCGGTCCTCGCGCTCTTCAATGACAAAATTCGTGCCGTATTGATTGAACGCCTGCCCCATATAAGAGCAACTTAGTATATTTGTAGGCATAGTAATACTTTGTCTGCATGGCCGCATGATGGTTGGTGGTCACTTTAGGTTTAGTCTGCCCTTGTACAAGTGGGCTGGCTTTCAGGCCATGCCCAGGCACAGTTGACCTGTCGCCTTCAAAATACATGTATTCAGCTGCACAAGCATATTACAAATTGGCTTTTTTTGGCCCGAATGCCAACTTACGCAAAATGCAGTGGTACGAAGACCTAAGATGTGTCCAAAAAAACAAGTCGTCCTTAGTTTTTAATTGTGATCGGGCTGTAAACGAGTCGCAACATTTTTGTGTAGGCATGTTATGACTTTTATGACAATTTAAAAACTTGATATATGTGTTATCTAATTAATTTAACTAACTTTAGTACTTATTTCAAGCAAGCAAGCTCAAATAATTAGAAATGGTGTATTTGTGTGACGTCTGGTGTTTTCAATTCCTTCAATGATTGAACCTGATTTAAGTTGCGTCAGGTAGGTGTTACGTTTCGGTGGTGCTGTGTGGCATTGTCATTGTTTGTGGAATGGGTTCTAAGGTCATTTATATAAGAGAGTGAATTTTTCCATATTGTACCGTTTTTGCTTCATAAATAATGCAGAACATAGCCTACTACTACTAAAAACTATTTTCGTCGATTTCAGTTTGATCATTGGCAGGACTTTGGTCAGTTTCTGAATTTTTCCTTTAGCCAGGTTTGCCCCCAACTCTTTAGAATCAGCGAACTAAAAAGTATCTGTCGTGCGAAGCGGTAGTGTGTCTTGGGTTACCTTAGATGGTTCTGAACCACAATAAGGCTTTAATACCACAACTTTTAGTTTCCTTTTTATTCATATTGTCGTTTTTTAACATATTGGGATCAACGACACCTGCTGTTTTTTGCATGTGCACTTTCTTGTTTTATAGTTCTTCGGAAAACTCCGTCCTTGTAGTGATTCAACCCTAGTCTTGATTTGGTTTTTATTCTCCTCCCGTCAAAGGACTCGCTTCCCTATGCTTCACGAATTTATCCTACTGCCTATCAACCTACCCGTCGCTTTACCGCCTGTACTTTTTAGGATTTGGCACTGAACTTGCTGTTTCACAAGTTTGTCATTAAAGCCTAACTTTTTTTCATCAGACAAATACTCTTCACAGAAATGTGTTGATAGCTTTCGCAAAAATGAGTAACAACGTTAGGTCGTGCATCGAGCATACGACAAGCAGTGTCTTCTCAGATGAAACCGAGATTGCCTCTGACATTGAGGCAGATCTGCAGGAGCTGCCAGCAGGAGGTGAGGATTTGGAAACCGATGCCACCTCTTTCGTTGGTAGCATCACCAACAGCTTTGCGTCACCGCCGTTTGCTGGTAGTTTCTCTTCTCTTCTTTCTGACTCCTCCGCTGCGCCCCCTCTCTCAGAAGATGAGGCATTGATGCAGTCGTCACAACCTCAGCATGTCTACCTTCGCTCTGCTTCTCTCAGGAGTGTACACACTCAACTTCTCAATGCCCAGTTGGGAGAGAATTGCGGTTCACCTAGCTGCATTGTATGCTTCAGTTGCACTTTCTTGATGTTTTCATTTCTTATTCTTCGCATGTTAAGTACATTATGGGGTCTAGCTCTTGTGCTCTTTTGCTTTCACTTGGCTCTACTTGATATTTTCGTTTCTAGTCCTTGCAAGGTTTTGTTGTGGTCGGTACGAACAACGGTTTCATCTTTGTTTTTGGTGAGTATCAATGTCTGTTCTCACTTTGTATTTTAATGTTGTCAGAAAGTTTTTTTAATAGCAATTTGCTGAGGTGGTCAAAACATTGAGGACCGTTAGTAATAGTAGGTGTGCCTCTGTTTATCCTAGGCGTTATTTGATTCATTGAGCTTAATTTGTCCAACACGTTGTTGTAATCTTCTAACGCCTTGATTTTCTAAGGTTCTTTTTTACGACAAACTGTATCCGATTTTTCGGACCATTATGATTATGGATTGCATTTGCAGGCGACATCAATTTGAATTTTCCGAGCATAGACCACTTATTTATCTGTCGCTTGGGCGATGCTTCGTTCTTCGTCAGCCATAATGAATTTTCTGTCTTATTAAGGGAGTAGTGTTGGTTGGGGTTAAGGCCATCATCATTGTGCTATAATGGTGGCTTCCGTTGCGAACTATAATTTGGTTGTTGTTTGGAGTGTTTCTAGGCTAAAAATATGTGCGCATTATTTATTTATCTCATTGTATTGCATCCAAAGAAATTGTTGAATCAACGATGTTTTTAGCAGATCCTCGATAACGTGTCGCATTAATCTTTAGCAGCATTTCACCCTTTCCATTATCGTAATATTAAATAACGTGAAATTCTCCGTCCATTTTATCGCTCTTTTACGCTGCTGATGTCTGTATTTTGCGACGGTGTTTTACATAATATTCAAACCGATAAAAGTACTTGATAACTCAATATAAAGCATATACTCATCGGACCAGGTGTTGAGAGTTATCTGCTCGCATTGCAAGTTTAGCCGTATGTTGACAAAACCACTTCCCTCCTCGTATGGATTATTTTAATGAGTTTTAATGTATTTGCCCCACTTAACTTGTATCAACAAAAGCTATTGTTTTTTTCCACTATTCACGTGTTCATTTTTGTACTAAATCTAAGTCGGTTATGTCAACGGACTTCCATTTGCACTATTATTTCCTTCATCGCATTCATTTGGGTTTATTCAGAGGGGCTATAGCCAGATGTTCACGATCTTACCGTGAGTATTGTCTTTCTTAAATTTTCGTGAAAATTGTACTTAAGTTCCTAGCTGCTACAGAAGAGGCCCTTTTTTTCATATCTACATTCCTCTCAGCCTCTGTTGCTATCGCGGTTATTAGTGTTAATAACAGCGCTTAGTTATGGGTGTTGGAAAGATGGATGAGGTAATTTTGTCAGAATCTGGGATCCCGAGGATCGTCAACCCCCTTCGTCATTGTCTTTGAAAGATCGCCGTCAGAAGCTGCTGCTCTGCATCGACACAAGCGCCGCTGAGGTGGGTTTGGGGCAGGGTTCAATTACCTCGTTGAGTCAGAATCTCTCGAGCAGTCGACTTCTCAGCGGTTTTGCCAGCGGTCGTATTGCGATGTGGCAATTACCCAAAGGTGCCGGCAACGCAACTTGCGAGTGCATCGAAAATGAGGATAAGGAGGAGGAACAACCTCAGTTGAAGGCTGAGGAGATCAAGAAAAAGAACCAAGGCGGTGGTGTTTCTCTGCGCATTATCGATGATGCGCATTCAGACGGGCAATCTGTTATATTCTGCGCCTTCACGTCGCTACCAACCGTGGCGGTTTCGGTGGATAGCAGTGGCTCTGTCTACGAGCTGGATTTTAGGTAATTTGTGGTTGAAATTTGCAAAAGAATTATGAAATCGATTATCTTTCCTTTGTTTGATTTAGACGGGGAATTATGGGTCGTAGCACTCTATCAACTTGCTTCTTCTCGGGCAGGTGAGTAGCTCTCATTCCATTTACTCACTAGTCCTGTACCACTAACTAGTTTGGACTAGAGGCCAGAAAAATATTACCTCTTGTTTGCATGCATCAATAAAGTTAAGTGTTGTCTATTTCACACTTTTAGTGGAATAGGTTCGGGTGGGTAATGCCAAGTGATTTCTTGTGAAGAAGAGCGTGATGAACTTGTCCCCACTTTTATTATTAGTGAATGTTGTTAACCTCTTGGATGAATCTGAAAATTCTATCCAGAAGCTCTCTGTTTTTATGCCACATGGCTTCTTGCTTGTTCTCAAGGCACCCATGCTACCTTGGATGGGTTTGAGAACTAGTCTTTGGAATCATAAAATCAAAACTGCTTGGATCTCCAAACTTTTTCGTGTATACAATGTTTACAATTTTCGAGATAGTTTTGTTACATGGAGAAATCTATCTACTTTATTTAGTTTCGTTGTTCGCAACCCTGAATGGCATATTTCGACTACCAGATCGACGATAGTAGCCATAAAGTCATCGGTTCGAAAAGTTTATCGTCGTTAATAGAAATTGTATTTCAAATCCATGGTTTTTTGAGCAACTTTTGGCGATGAATTGAACCTGTCGTCTTATGAATGCTGCACCGCACCAGGCGCCTCGTAGCATTTAGTGTGAGGAATGTGTACCATTTATCATTATCAATCGTTTTTGCGATCGACATCCTCTGCGGGTGTAAAATTAATACGAGTGCTTGGCTGGTAATGGAATATCTGATTTCCTTTTGGAAGTTGTAAGTTGCAAAAGTTGGAATTTGGGGTTGGCTAAGGCCGGGACAGTTTAATAGACTGTTAACAGAAACGGTATAAGATAGAAGTTATGGCATCAAGGTAACAATCAAAGCTGCGAAGTGAAAAGAGATTATGCAATTACACAGCTGTCTATTACTTCATAAACCGAGTAGTGTTTAGTGGCAACCCATATTAGCGCATCTCTTTCTCCCTAGCCATGGAGAAATCTGCGCAATTTCTCCCCTGCGTCCCACTCAGACGACTGGCCTACCACAGAACTATCATCGTTGGCCGGCTTTTCGTGCTCTTCTCTGTTCCGCCATGGTTGCTATGGCTTCTTTTACCAAGGTTATTGTTATTGCGCTGAAGCCCAAGTTCAGTGTTATATATTGGCAACACCTCAAGGTGAGATGCTTTGTCTGCCTTAAGACTACGAATCATGACTACCATGTTTCATTTGGACAAGCATTACCGAAAGAAATCCTTAGATCTCACTTCATTCTTCCGAACAAAGTTTATACATTATTGGTTGTTTGTAGCTATAAAAGCAGCTTGCTCAACTTTCAAATATGTAGAAATATTCTCGTTCGTTACGGTTTCAGCCTCTGCGCACGATACCGCTCTTGGTAATAAGATACTATAACTTGGGCTGGACTTCACTATTTGTGAACTAATGTGTCTATTGCTGAGTCGCGTAGCTTTTGTATTTTGAACTTTTATGTATAAGTACGCCATAACATCCGACTCTTATTTGCCCTTGTAGACACACCCCTCTTCATCCTGACCCTAGCTTTCTTGATATTCGACTTTATTTAACTGAATAAGCTTTGTCTTTATGTCTATTGACAGATCTAATATGGGCCTGAAGTTTTAGTTTTCGCCAGTGTGATGGTGCCTTCATAAGGCGAGAGAGAAGCATATTTATTATGGATGCGACAAACCGCTGCCGATACAACCAAGTCGATCTTGTGATATCACCTCCCTACTCTAATTTCCCATCTAGATTAGAATTCGTTGGGTTTCAACAGTAGAGTAAAGCCACTTCTTGGTAATGGCTCGCTCGGAAGCCTTTGAAAACCTAGGCCATTGGATATGCTCAAACATGCTTATAATTCAGCACAGATTATATGGACGACTTTTTGCTTGCTAGACTCATTGCTCCTCTCTTGTCTCATATATTCAGGGTTCGCCCTCTTCTCTACCCTTGCTGGCGTGGTCGTGGTGCATTCCTAGTACAGCGGATTACAAGCTGGACGAGAGTATGGCCTTTTTGGGTTTTGCTCGCGGATCTACGATCCATCTTGCTCGCATTTCCACACGTCCACTCGATCCTCATGCCGAAGTCTCTTCAGGCACTTACGTCTTTACCTTCAGCGGGCGGCAGTTCATTCACCAATTCAATCTCCTCCGGACAATCTCCCTTGATCGACGCATTGTAACCCTTCATGTATGTCATTAACTTTATCGATGGTGACAAAGTCTGAAAATTTGTGAAATCTAGTAGCCGTCTGAACCGAACCAATTTGGATGGCCATGATTACCCAACAGGAGTATTCCAGTGGGCATTCGCAAATCTAGCCATAACGTTCTTACTATTTCTGCTGTTTCCCATTTTGTTTCAGTTGGTAAACGCGTTTCGTCTCCATAGTGTCACTTCTGCGGTAATTTGGTTATACTTTTACTAATACTAATAAGTAGGCTACCGAATTACCAATTATTTTCTACAGCTAGGAGCCTTTGGAAATGCTGGCTCAACTAAATGCTGGAAATTTTCGTGGATTTTTTGTTACTCTGGTTGTGTCATACCAATATTTGGTGTACTTGCTTTTCGTCAGTACATAGAACTTTAGTGGTCCTTTCATCCCTAATTATGTTATGAAATTCCGCTAAGGGTTTTAATTTTCCATGAATTAACTGTTGATAATTGGAACCTCCATAGAACGGGACAACTACTGTTGCTTTGTACCTGCTTGCATGTCTCACCACTGATTTCTTTACTTAGTTAATATTGTTTTCAACACTTATTTCCCTCAGTGATAAAGGCTTTCATATGCCCTGATTCTTCTTGAAGGGAGAGTAGTAAAAGTGGTTCAATCGTTTTTAGGTATTTGGAACTTGCCCATTTGGTGCTGAAAAGTTGGCACTTTTCGTTTGATTTAAATTACGCGTTTACAGCCATCTAATTGGACTTGGATCCTTTCATAATCTCTAGTTCTTCACCCTCGATCATCTCGCTATCCTTGACTCCGAGGAGATATTACGATTGTATGATGTATCGACCGAACGTGAAGTGGAGTCTGTTGATCTCACGACAGTTGGGATCTACTACAACTCGGGCGCTTTCAAGGCTCTTGCTGTTGGGGGCACTGTCAGCGAGGCTTTGGTACGTTATTCTGGGGACTCTACGATGTTGGTGCCCATTTTAACACTCGAATCATCATTGGAGAAAAGATATGGCACGCAAACCCAGTGGTGCCGCTAACAAGATTTTGAACTATCGTTCTGCTATACGCATATTCAGTCACTCAGCAGATACTTTCCTCTTTGAATGTTAAACATGGTGTTTAGTCAAAAAAGTTGGGAGCTTTACCAACATGTCAGACTGTTTCTGCCAAGATTAGCATTTGAGCCCTCCCTTAAGACTTACAAACTATTTCCCTGAAGGTATGCTTACTCGCTTCGTACAGGGGTTTGGGTAACTAGCAGAATTCCATCGCATATTGCCGGCGCTGAATAGGCGCGAATGATTAAAGGCGTGCCCAAAGTATTTTTTTAAATAGGCTGTATTTTAGAATGAGTGCGTGATCAGGCAATCGAAAGACGTAATTGGCACCATGTCCATCCGTGAAAAGGACTAGATCATTTGTGCAAACAAACAATCCCTTATTGATCTTTACTGATTCCAAGACCCAGCAAACCTCTGTCATAGCATGGTTTTTTAGACCTGTGCTAGTGAACGCGCCTGTGCCAACTCACTCACCTCAGCAGACGGAAGGTTGATGGTGATGGGCAAAAACGGTATTTCAATGCTCGTACTTAAATCGTGGAAAGAGGTAAATTTGTCGTTTTTCTCTCAACCTTTATTCACAACCCCTTTTCATCCTAGCGAGCAATCAGCCTTTTTAAAGCCGACCGCGTTGGTGAGGCCCTGGCCAGTTGTCGACAGGTGCTACAAGTGGACTCTACACCTGATTTACGGGAATCCCTTCTCCAAGTTTTAACCCACATGCCCCTCACTCAGCCTAAATGTCATCTTACGCTTCCAACCACTGCCACTCTTGTCGAGATTTGCGTTGTAGCAGACCTCATGTGAGCTTGATATTATATGTACATCCTCTATTTCTAATTAGTCTGGTTTAACCGAGATTTTACATAGGGACTTCCTTAATGCTGGTGTGATTCCTATGTATCGACAGGATCCGCTAACATATCCACTGCTTTTGCAATGCCTTTGCAACCGTCTTCTCCAAGCCCGACCTATCTACGAGACACCCGACAATGGTGGCACTGAATGCTGTCTTAGGTACATTTCTCCCGATATCAGCATGGAATTGCTGACGTGGTGCATCTGTGGCTCGAACACCTCTCTGTCCAGTGCCTCCCTTGCCGCCTCTGAGTTGGCCTTACAGAGCCTCTCGGAGCGAAAAACCTCAAAACATCAACAACAACTGCAAATGCGGGTAAAAAATTGCCGTTCACTTGCTGAGTCATGTCTTGTGCGTTTGTCGCCAACCAGTCTCAACATAGACAAGGTAAATTTGACCTCCTCTAACTGTCGCTTCACTAGTTGCTTAGTCGATGTTTTCCGTCATTTGATGTTTTGCTTAAAAAGCTAAAGCTCTGGGGATTTGTGGTCCCTGTAACTGTCTAAAGTGTTCTTTTAGCTCAAGTTAGGATTGTTCTACTGCAGTGGGGATGTAAATGGCAATTAGGCGTTCAATTGAATTCCAGAGCAGCACCATTTCTATTTTTGCCTTTGAGTATAGTATAAGGCTTGACTGTTAAACCGCTCGCCATTTTTGTGCATGTAGCAGTGCGTACTGCAGTTTAAATGTCGGTCTCCAACTTCCCAAAAGCGATAGAATTGAATGAATCGCATATGTATACTTGGGCTTCCAAGCATGATTGCTGTGCAATGTGCCGGGAACCTGGTACTGTCCAGCTTTTTCTTAAGTATTTTGCAGCACTTAAATGTAAACTTCAGGTGCCTCCAAATGTACAGCTAGTTGAAAAATGCTAATATTTGTAAAGATCAATCTACATCCCTATCGAATTCTTCAAGTCTCCTATATCTTTGCAAGTATATTTCTGGTGATGCTTGAAAAGCATCATAACCGATGCTGTTTTCCACTGCCTTCATTTTTGCACGCGAGACTCTCACTGTAACGTTTATAAGTAAACTAATAAGACCAAGGTAAACTGGTCAGGACTGAGAGAAAAGTCATGCGCTTGTAGTCTTGTTTTATAAGACTACGAACCTCCTTATGATTCAGTAGGACTTCATTATAAACACTGGGAAAGTCTGGAATTTTCACGAAATAATATTCGCAAACCATAATCTAACAGAATCTAGTTCGTTTTTTTGTTTTTCAGGTTCTGAAATTCTGCCTCTCCAATGGCCTATACCAAGGCTTTATGTACGTTTATACGTACGTGCTGAAGGACCATGAGGCGGCTTTCCGATGGCTGACGGATCTGCTGATTAAGAAGGCACAGTTACTCGTTGAACGAACATTCTCTCCAGGTACTCCATCATCCCTTCCTGTTCATTCCATTGGTGAGTTGCTCGGTTGGCTTTTCTGCTCAGACTAATAATCTGAAGTGTTCTGTTAACTAGAAAATGCCCGTATGTTGTTGACTGAATCATTTTTTTGTAGTGGTTATCATTTACAGTTTGCTTGCGATCTGTGAAATGCTGTGCTTGCTTTCGAGCTAATTCATTCATGTAAATGTTTATGCAATAATGAGCTGAGCAGGAGGTCTTATTTTTTGTTGACTTAATTTCGCTAATCGTACATTCGGTAGATATGCGATAAACCAGTACATTATCCAGCGCTTCTTTTTTATCCTATTCGCCGCAAATTTTTTGCTCTCCATGCGCGTAGCTCCGATTATGCCCATCCTAGGAATGAGAGTGCAATGATCGTTTGATTCTATTCAATCCCATCACAATGTGATTATCTGCCAGAGCACTCACTCTATTTGTATATTCCTTACCTTACTCTCAGTTTTTGTATTCGCTATTCCTACCTAATTATTCATGGTCGTGCCCTTTCACTTTTATGACTCAACTTCCTGCATTTAATCGTTAGGAGGTGTTCCCGTCTTCAGTGTTTTTTCAATCTAGTGCAGCTACAGGTAACTTGGTATTATATTCCACATTTTATGAGGGTTGGGTAGCTTTTTAATATGCGTCTTTCAAACAGTCTGTCTTGTCAAGGGTTTAAGATAGCCTATTTCATGATATTAAGATTGCAATGCTGATTAAAATCTACTGAACCCAATTTGGAAGGTAGAGGCCGTTTCTGGTGGTGTCCTTAATTCTGGAACAGCAGGCGACTTATTTCCTATGTCTATTCATAGCTTCGTTAGAGTCTTTGGATAATCTTGACGCCAGTGAAGCAGTTAATGCCATCCTTCTCTTCCTTCGATCTTGCTTTGTCGGTGAGGAAGTCTTCGGTATGCCCCTTGACCCACAGTTTTACGCTGATGTCCCTAACAAGGTTCGTACGTCCTCATTTCCTTGCCATTGGACCATCAATTGATTTTTGCTCAAAATTATACTTCGTTTCCAGATTTTCAATCTCCTCCTCTCCTCACACATCTCTTCACCAGAGTATCAGCATAAATATTTCTCACAACACACTACTTCAGCAACCTGTGCCATGCCTCGTCTCCGTGCCCTCTTGCATTTCGGTGGCACTGTAGATCTCCTAAATATGCTTACACTGGTTCTACGCGAAAGTCCCTTTTTCTCCATGCAACAGCTTTCTCTTAATCTAAGGTTTGTTGGTTCCATTATCACTAAATCATGCTTGTTTAGTCGTCAGCGTAGACAGCGCCTATTTAATGCCCTCGTGACATGCCCTTTAGATGAGGCTGGGGAGATTTTGTTGCCAGTTGATTCTGCAGATATAATTCGTCTACTGTGCTTCATCGGGGAACAGATTCTCCTTCCGGAAAATAGTTCCCTCGCTTTTGAAAGCCAGAAGATATTTAAGGTAAGGATAACAGTCCACTTCCCTAGAAAGCTTTAGTGGGATCGTTTTAGACTCCTTCATCATCCCTTTTTAGATGCTGGAATATCTCTCCAAGCGTACTGGTTTTTGTGAATCGATTAATTTACCTCTATCGGAACTCTCCGATGTCCTCTACCGGCTTCTGTTTTCTGGACGCATAGACGCCTCGCAGGATCTGCTAGAGGTGGCAGAAAATGTTGGCTTGTATGTAACACTGAATACTCCGTGTAGTCTACTTGTCCGAATGTAAAAGCTGTTTCGGTTCATTGAGGTAAACTGTACTAGCTGCATGGCAGCATGCTTAAAAGGGCTGTACATTTGAATGCCTAATTTAACTAGTCTTGTTGTTCAGTGCTTATCACATTTACCTTTTCGTTTTCAGCGTCACTTAAGGTGTCCCAAATCCTTCAATGTACCTTTATTAATTAGGTGTTGAGGAGCTATGCCACTGTTCGTATAGGTCATCAGACTGGCTTGCGGAAGGCTGTAAGCAGGCCAATTCACTAGCGAACGTATATAGCATTTGCTTTAATGACCAGAACAACTTTCTTTTTATCTTTCATTTAGGAATGATTTCTGCGAGCAGGTCTACCGTAGCCAAGGCAAAGTGGAGGCAGTGCTCTCCTGCCTCCTCACCAGTCTCCAACGCGTAGTCTCTTTTCAACCGGTGCGCGACGATACGAAACTTCACAACCTTGTTTCTCGGATTTTTATCCTTCTCAGTGATCAGTTTGCTTCGCCCGTGGAGACAGGGAATAGTTTTGCGCCACTTGTTAATCGGTTTCTTAAATTTGTCGAGGTAAGGCGGAGAGGTGCTTTACCGAATTATAAGTAAAACGTCCACATGTGAAAATGCTGCCAAAATAGATAGCTGTAGGCAATGAATCAGTTTTCCCCATCCATCAAAATCTGGTTAATAATGTACTCAACTATTTAATGGCGCTGGCACGACTTCCTCCCCACCGTTATTGCATTTATAAAGTTGGGAATTCGCTATTCTAATGAAACTCTAACAGTTCATCCATATAGTTGCGTTGTTATAAGCTCTTGTGCTTGGTTTTTCTCCTTACCCATTTTAAGTTATTTCCCCCTATGGCTATGAACATTACATGCATTCTGCTTGTTTCCTCTAATATTGTCTTTCAAATCTGTTTTTCTCAAATTCCAAATTTCCCTAGTTCTGTTCCGACTCCCATTTCAATGGAAAAATACCTAATGACTTGTTGAAGTCGGCAACTTTTGTAAATGAATTCGATTAGATTGGTAATGCGAAATATTCTCTATATAGTGATTTTGACTTTCAGCACAACACTGTTCCACCTTGGTTGGCAAGATTTGTCTCTTAAAAAAATGGTTGAACTTTTAATCTCAGTTTTAATATTTCTGATTACATTATCAACAGAGCTTGGCAAAGCGATGCATGTGACTTGTTCCTATACACGCCATCTTCATTAAATAACTTCAGGTAGTGGATAACCTCTCCTTAATCTTTTAATCCATTGTTTGAAGTAATAACAGTTTACAATCGCTAAACTTGCTCACCGTTTGGAGCAAAGAGATAAGGTTTTGGTTGCTGAAGTCTCACCTTCAGATATTTGGGTATTTGGGGTCATCGCAGAGCTGATTTGGTTGTTTACGAGAAGGCTTGCTCACTAATTGGCTTCAGATACCCAGAAAGGCTCATTCTATTATAGAAGTTTAGCTTTTACTTATTCACATAACTTGTGCGCACCATGTGCCTCCTTCTGTCTTATGCCAGTTGAACTCTTAGTGATATGCCCCTTCAGATGTTTGAAGCAACTAATCTGTTGCGCAAACTAGCAAACACTACATACGCTTAAAGACTCTTGGGCGTACCTACGGAGACTTGTATTTCCTGTCTTTGTTTGCTTACTTGGAGTCAGCTTTGCGCTACTCCTAATTAACAATGTTCCTTTTCCGAATTTTGTCGTACATACTGCAGTTAACTGTGAAGATTGGGGAATTTCGTGAAATAACTTATCGTTAAAGTGGGAATTCATCTGTCGGCATCGACTGCCATGGGATAGCAGTTTGTTTAATTATGTTAACTGAATCGTTTAGTACGTGCATCCCCCTCGCATCTTTCAGCCCTACACTCGTTTGGATCCTCTACGTTCCTTAATCCTCCTGATGCAAGCAATCGGTCCCTCAATGCGACGCATTTTGTGCGCACTGGACTTTATTTTCATGAGTGACGAACCTCTTCCCTGTAATTTACTTTTTCACTCCGTTTCCTCCCAAAACTCTCAACTACCCTTCGACGCGAAGGTACCTTTAGCTGTTGATGGGCCTCATCATCCTGCTGCAATCCTTATTCTCGAACCGTTCTACAAACTGCTGTGAGTTTCAGTGATTTATAATATCACCTGGAGGTTTTTACCTTAATTTAGGATGACTTCGTTCGATGCCGTTTTGCTTCATTAGTTGGACAAAAGTTGTCCAATGGCTTGATGCAATTTTAGGCGCTTTTCAACTGGATACGCCTGCTCAAGTCATTAGTGTTTTCCGCAATATCTTCCTCTTGTTTCGTGCTTCCTTCTCATGAAATCTCGTTCGACTTCGTCTTTTGTCCGTTTCTTAGCATTTGGGAAAGCAGTGAGGCAGAGTGAACTTCTTGGAGGAGTAATATCGCCCTTTTAATGAGTAGCCTAAACAGCGATGGGTTTACTCCCCGATAGTGACGACGATTCAGATGGTAAGGCAAAAGTTTCAACAAATTCGAACGCTTGATTTTGATTATCTTTAGTGGTTGGGCAGTTAGCTGTCGTCTATATCTACTGAGGCCGGGTGGCTGTGAAAGCGAAACTATTGATTCATCTCCATGTGGTAATGCTGGGTGGCGGACAATCGACATGGAAGTCTCACAATTTGGTCCTCCTTTTGTTTCCATGGCATTTGGATGTGGTTTTTGAAACGTCAACTAGATCTTGGCTGCACTCGTATTTTCGACGTTGCCAATTTTAAGTGATTGCAATACTTTGATTTTGCCTCATCTCATGTTTACCTATTCTGCTATTTTGGCTTTTCATTCGTGAATCACGCCTTTTTGTTTATTTCTGGCTGGGGCGACTTTGTTAAGACAATTTTCAGATATTTTCAATATGTCAAAGTTGCCTGTCACTAGCACTTCAATAATATGAGAACATACTCTCGTTATAGCCTCCTGCTTGCTTTTTGCTGAAACTGTGAGTGATGTGCCGTTTTTTAATTGGAATCATTTTAGTGGACCGATTAGTTTAGCCGTTACCGTTATTCTTCTTTTCGAGGTTATATTAATCTTCTAAAGCCAATTCTCGAATCAGATTTCGAAGTGTATGGGTCTAATTCCCGCCACCGGGAACTAAATGCAATTTTGTACACGAAATTACTTCTCTTATTCGGGCCTGCTATATTTACTAGGCATTCTGATACACCGGAGATGGAGCGGGATAATGTGATCGCCAAACTGGCGGTGAATGTAAATCTTCGCCTGGCACTGGATGAACTATTGGCGAAGCCAGATCCCCTGGTGGCCGAGCTCTACGTACGACTCCTCCTTGCTAATAATCAACGTAAAAGGGCCTGCGAGTTCCTTACTCTTAATGGAGAGTATCGGGCCTCTGTTCTTCTTGAAGTAGGTACTCTCTTTCTGTTTTCTACCCGGTAGCAATCTCAGTCCTTGTTGTCACCTTATTCCACGTGTGTGAATTATTTGTCACCTTTGTATAGTCACGCGCAGCGCTTAACAAAAACCAGTGGTAATAGGTAAGACTGAAAGCTGCGGCTGCAAATTGGTTTTTGAGTTTGACGTCGGGCTTGAATCCAGACAAGCATCCCATGTAATGTTAGCTAGCGGAAAGCACCAAAAGCATCGAAGACACTTGGTATTTCTACTTCCTTTCCTCTAAGGTTTGATGTGCTTTGGCCAATGAATTTGATCTCCATTTAGCCTCAGCTGATCAGGAGGGACTTGGCAGGGTACAGCATTCAAATATTTTTTGGAATCTCCAAATGAAAGTGCTAGATTTTGTGAAACAGAGATAGGAACGCTTTCTGTAGTTGCGGAATGTTTTTACCTAAAAATCCGTGCACAGGCGTGAAGAAACATCAACTTTTGCCAACAACTTTTCTTTGAGAACCGTGAAATTTGGTAAAATTACGTGCTTTCACCAAGATCTGGGACAAATTGTGATTTAATATGAACCAGTAACCGGCTAAGCAACTAACATATCACTCTTTAACTTTGTGCACCCAGGTTCCACTCGTGGATTAGAAATTCGTGTATTCATCTATGTATTTTTCCTTAATATTAGTTCCTGGACGATGAAATCTACCTCCGAGAGCTTGCTTATATATATGAGAAGATTGGAGAAAAGGAAAAAGCATCGGATCTCCTAAAGAAGGTTCGTCGGTAACACCACCACCATCATCAGCACCATTCTCTTGTCTAACACTCGCACCACCCTCTTACCTATCTTTTTCTCGTTTCCAAACCTAAAGGACTTTCTTGTTTACTGGAACCGTCTTGTTGATTGCTGCAGCACTGCCCCCACCATGACGAATAGTGGCTGGGCTGATGGCTGCGAACAGGTCCATTCATGCGCCGATGCTTGGTTTGCCTTTACTGCTCGCCAATGCTCTAGCAAGCGTTCTTCTATCAACGAGGTAAATTTTAGCAAAATGTGTCTCTTCATCCACCCTTTAAAAAAATGTAATAATGGATATTACTTTTTTAGCCACCATGGTATGTCATTATTGACACCCTCTCGGCTCTTCGAAAGCAGCAGCTACCAGACCAGCTAACATCAGGTTATTTTAATCTGGGGTTATTTTTTACATCTTTAGAACTAAATTGTATATTTCATAAAATGTTGGAATCCTCCAGTCCTTATGTTCCCATTCCTGCCCTCATCAATCGCGTCCTCCAGGTGAGAAAATAATTGCATTGTCTTCTGGTCTCATCCTATGACCTTTGTAATAGAGATTTACTGTTTTACAGATCTCTGACGCCTCAGTGGCTTCGTTTGGTTCTGCAACGAATCGTTTTCTGCTTCAATTAGTGGGTGTATGGCAGAAGGAAGGGAGTCTTATGCGGGATTGCCGTCGCCTCATGGCAAATGACATAAATGCCCTCGAGCAGCTTCTCGTTAGTGCTCTGAAACGTGGATTGGGGCTGAGACGATACAGCTGCTACCTTTGTGGTCTAACATTCGCTCGAAGATACAGGCGATTGCGTTCCTTAGTTACCTGTCGTCTTCATACCGGTGGATTCTCTACACTTGATGCAAGGCAGTCGACGCGACCGGAAATACTCTTGTTTTGGTATTTTTCTCAGTTTATGTTTGGGCGTATCGCTTCGAATTGTAAATAAGCTTAATTAATTGAAGGAAAATTTTGGCTATGATTCACGAGGTTGTTGGTGTAAAGGACAAGTTTAGCTATTCATTTCCCTCGATCACGTCTACTGTTACTCCAAAAAGCCTTTATTATTATTTTATTATTTATTGCTCTCCAAAAGAGCTCACTTTCACCTTGGTTAGGTTATTATTCATAAAGATCTTATTGCTGGTTTTTGTGAACTGTTTATACTCTTACTAAGCTTTTAAGCATTATCCGTAAATCTGCGCCTTTCTGCCATCTCACCGCCACTAGCGACATTGCCACTGGGTGGACTTTGGAATGCTTAATCCATTAAAACACGCTCTGCTTAAACTTGAACGTCGAGCATTTTGAGACCTGTGAGCTCCGGTTCAGCACTTTCATTTATGGAGGAACTTATCACCTGCAAGCTCTTGCATACACGAGTTGCCAAATTTGATTAATCCAAAGGATTGTGAATTGATATCCTTTGATAAGATTGTATGCAGTGACACCACGGCAATGCGTTTTTGTTGATAAGCCGGATGAAGAATATACAAGCTATGAAGGTGCCGTTTTTACGGTGGAACCGTTTGTTCTCGCGGTAATGTTGAAATATCGGCGCCGCAATGCAAGAGACTGGGTGTCACACTTATTGATCTTTGCAACCTAGTTTGGGTGTGCGTGCGCATGAGGACAAATTAATATGCGTACCTTAGCAACAAGACGCAGGGGTAACTGATTAACTGTAGCCGTACTTAGGGTAAACTTAGGGTGCCACTGTTCCATGATATCCCAAAGTGATCCCATCCCAAAGCCCACATGCACCAAGTAAATAAGATAACAGTGCTTCCGCTACTTTTTGCTACGGTCACACAGGTGCGGTCACGGCGTCCACGTTGATTGCTATGAGAGCTGTCGAGATCGCCGCAAGGGTCGTCTACCAGAGGATAGGCAGTTCTTCTGTTTACAGTGCACTAATCTTCTCGATCCCTCTACTCCACCGCCCCTTCTTGGTTGTGTTGGTAGCGAGGCAAGTGAGGACTTGGCTGTCCCCATCACCCTGTCATCACCCACCTTTTCCTCCTACTTCCTCGACGTGCACGACGAAATACAAGTTCGTAGGACCCATCCTAATCAAGTAAGTAGTCTTCATGTCGAATATGGCAATGCAGTTCCCGAGTCAATAATAGCTCTGAATGAGTTTGCTGACAGTCGTAGCAACATTCTAGGAGCAAGTTGGGTAATTATGAGCTGTCCGCAAGATTAATGCATTAGTGACGTGATCAGAGCCCATTTGGTGGAACAGTTCAAGTTTAGTTAACATTTGCCGGCTTCGTCGTGCTAGATACGACGACCGTTAAGTCTAATGACTTAAATTTTTGTTCATGATTAAATCCACCTGAGGCCACGTTCCAAGGCACTAAACGTAAAATAGCCCCGACTTTCGTTTGTTTACTCTCCCGATCTCAACTTTTTCTTAAGACTTTCCCGATTCGTCCGCGTCAATCCACTAAAGAGCCAACCAACCCTTTTGGAACCGATGAGGACGAGTAGGCGACTCCATTCTAACTCCTACCTGATGTCCGTAATACTTAATGACCATTTTTCGATTATGATTTAATATCTATTTGTTGTGAAGCACAGTCTCTGCAATACTTCTAATTCTCTAGATGTAAGTAATGTCATTCGTAAAAATGTTTTGTCTCCATCGTAAAGCCAACGCCAACCAGAGTTCTGAGCTTAGCAGTTACCAAATTAACCTCTACTGCAATCAAAAATGAAGTCTTGTGTAGAAAATACCCGATTTAATACTCTTTAACAAAGCAGAGCTCACTTCGGCTATCTACCTCTCAACACTTCTGGTGCACTCCATCAAGCGGATAAATAGTGAATTTCTTCCACTGAAGTAGAGGTAAAGAGCAGTTCAACAAACAAATGCCCAGGTTTTAAAATTAGTCATTCGGATTATCCATCGACAGAAATACATGGCCTACCTGCAGGATCGCTAACTTCCTTGCCTTGTTTAAATGGTGGCAGCTTGGCCACCTTGGCTTTAGCCTCCTCAATCGAAATATGGCAAGGACTGTTCGTGTTTGTTATATTCTGCCTACAAGGGAAAAGGGTGACCTAGCCTTGCAGCCAACATGTTTGCACAAAATGGCGATCGTCTTCAGAGAGCAGGTTATTTAAACCTCTATGGCGGTACAACTTAATTATTTAGGCTTAAACCAGCTCGAACGGATACCTGCCCTGAAGGCTGGAGATAATTCCAAAAACTGGGCAAACGAAGCCACTTTGATAAATGAGTCCAGTGGTATACGAAACTCGGAAGTGGTAAAGTGAATCCGTAACAATACCGTAACATACCAAGAAAGCTCCGATGACTCCGAACGCTGGAGCACGAGATGCTTCCATTGTTCATGGGTCTCGGTGATAATCTTGGAGGCAAAATCCTAATTCAAAAGGCATGAAAAGATTTATCACTAAAACAAGTAGAACAAGAATCTACAAAGTTGCAGGACCCACTTTGTCCTTATACTGCTCATCAAACGCAAATGTGTTTTTGGGCTTGCCAGTAGGGACCTTGTAGTTGCGGAACCACTCTTTGGTAGCCTGAATCAAGATCAGAAATATGGAAATTCAGGAAGAAGACCAAGAGGTTAGTATCTAACTCACATCCAGGAGACCAGGCATGTGATGCTCCACATCGCCGATATCATTTAGGCTCTCCGCGAGTGGATCCTCCACATTGATGGCGATTACCTTCCAGTCTGTCTCACCTACAGAACATCATATCACACTTTGCAATGTCGTCAAGATAGAACATTTTACGCCTGGTTGAAATACAATGCGAAAGCAAATTTCATAAGACGAACCTTCGTCAATCATGGCAAGGATACCGAGAACTTTGACTCGAATGACGCTACCACTTGGAATGATTTTGTTTCCTATTTCACAGACGTCAATGGGATCGTTGTCACCCTTGGCCTTGGTATTAGGATCAACGTAAGCAGGATCCTCATAGGTCTGAGGAAGAGCACCATAGTTCCAGATGTAGCCCTTGTGGGGGAAAACGTTGTTCACGTACCTCAATTTGCCCTTCTTAACGTCCTGCTTGATTGGGTTCAAGGATTCCTCCTTGCATATTTCCATCTTGGCATTTGACCACCGCGGTATTTCAACAACCATGTTGAAGGTGTTAGAAGAGCTTTTGAGAGGGATGTCATGGAAAGGCGAAATGGGATCATTTCCAGAAACTAGAAAATACGAAGTCTTTTTGAGAATTGTTTACTATGCATTATCAATCTCAAGTCGCATCGGAGCGATTCTCACAAAGCTAGCTAAGGGTGCATAGTGATGACAACAAAGTACCTGAAGATATTACAATCTCATGAATGCGGGGTATGGTTTGTGCGTCTCGCAACGAACTCAGATACAAACATTAAAACATACAGAAATACATCCTGTAGTTCGTTGTATTTGATTCTCCAAAACATTTCGTTGTAAAAGTAGCCATGATCGACCTAAAAGTACGAAGCAGCAGATGCCGTCCACGCACGAACGTCACAATGGCAGGCAATATGTACGCTTCTCCAACGGCGCGACAAAATTAGGATTAAGAGAAACAAATTCTGTTGACGTAGCATTTTAGTGTTGTTTAACATATAAATTTATTATTAATGGGATCGGTAAATATAATGCATTTAGCGCATTACTCTTTGTAGCAGAATCTGTGCTTAGGCTTTTGATTTGGAAAACGCTGCATTTGTCTATTTTCATATTCACACACTAAACCTTTTGAGTTAACTTTATATTATGATTATAAGTGTCACAGCGAACACTGTAGTACATGATCAGACCATCTCCTTAAATGTGGTGTAGCGTCCCGAGGCTTCAATGGGGTAGCAGAAGGCATAAGTGCGGTTGAATACATGTATTCCGAAAGCATTAGGAGAAATGGGGCCTGAGCGTGGCCCGAAGGCCAGCTCACGTGTACAGGGCCCAGACAAGTCCTAAAGTCCCCGCCAAACGTCAGATAGTCGCATAACCAAAGCATTACATGTGGTTCACTTTTACCGTAAGTTTTGTACCACCAGTGCATAACCAAGGTTTCTTTAGCTAAGAGACGGTTGCGAAGCATACAAAATAGGCAGAAGGGGATAAAGATATTACAATACATACCATCGCTTAAGTTGATTTTGGCCGGAGGGGGGCGGTAACCAATTGGGAACGTGAGTCCCATGCAATAAAGGACATTAAATTCGCGATTTTACTACAAAGTCAAGACTTTTTCTCTTTATTTTTTTGGCACATGATAGTGAAACTTGTTTAAATCTCGCTAGGCGCATCTTGCACCAGTAGCGTCTCGAAAATTCCCATAGGGTGTAAGAAGGCAGTAAGGGATATTGGATGCACGTGTTCCGAAGAGGACAGAGCAAAAGGGCTCGAGCATTGTCCAAAGACTAGCCTACGGGTAAAAAGGCCAGACAGATCCTAATATGATGGCCGAACCTCAGGTAGCCACATGAACAAAGCACTACAGCACTTCACAAAATCTGCAATTCGAATTTAAATTTAAAAGTTGTATCACGAAATTTAGACGCCTATATTATATGCACAATATGAATGTCGTTTGCGACCATGTCAATCAAAAGTCATCATCGAGTTTGTGGGGTAATGGTGCATCTTACTGTAAAATTATAGAGAGAGGAAGCAGCTAGCCACAGGTCCGATAATATTAGGTTGGTGTGCTCCTCTGGGCAATGAACAAACATTATTTTTTCGGCCGGATTTCACACAAGCGATCTCCTCCCACTATACACATCGGACTTTCTCTCAAGTATTACTCTACCACAGTTTAGTCTGTAATGCTTTTAAGCTTTTCTTCGACGCATTTCACCATTTTGGTTTTGACGATGGATACATAAATAGCAACTTTAATCCCGACGGGTGAGGAAGCAAACTGCAGCTCTTAATGCTCATGACACCCATGGATTTCTAACCCTTTGTAAACTGCACTTTGGCTTTAGGACTTCTGTTATTGAAGGTGGATTATTTGGACCTTTACATATATGTGAAAATCCGAATTTACTAAAATCTTTGCCTTTATTTTAGTACCTATTCGCACATCACTTATTTGAGATCTACATAGTTTAAAAATTCCCTACAATATCCCTTGCAGATTTGCAACACATTGCTCATATGAACACCTCCACTTTCTGCGCTGGCTTCGCTATTTATCCCTTGCCTTATTAAATACATATGGATAGCTCAACATAATCCTTTTTTGCAGCCTAACATTAGTGCCTTTTACACTTCTTTAAGATAGAATCACAACACGAATTTCAAGACGCATGCGACCAAAGATTGTTCGTATCGGCCTATGTTGTGATATGTTTTCATAGCAGATCTATGTGTTTTTTATGTCACTTAACACAATTCTGATGCACTACGAGCAACTCTATTAGTAATTTTTGGCATTCATTTTTAAACTTTAGTTTGTTCGAATAGTCTTTCTCATGTGGTTTTGGTACCTAAATCAAAGACGCTTACTATGTCGGCAGCCGACGACCGGTCGTCCGCCCCAGGTATTTGTTGTAGCTGTTACTGTATCGTTAAGATGATCTTTCAAGCTTGGAGATAAAGTCTAAAGTCTCGAAGCAGGATGCCGCTGATGAGTTGGACGAGTTGTATCTTTTTCCTCACCTACAGCAGACAGACCGTCCTGATCCTGCTGTAGATATTCTGGCAGGAGAGAGGTCCGTTTCCCCAAATGTTGGCGACTCTCGTCAGCCTTTGAATACTGAGGGAGTTTTCACTGAACCAAATACGGCGGAGAAACGTATATCTCCTATATGCTGGGATCGAAACAGTGAGAAGGACTCAGTTCGTGTTGACGCTCCTGAGAATGAGTTTTCAAAGGAGGCTGAGGAAGAGCAGTCGCAAAAGAATTCAGTTCATTCCGAATCAGTGAGTGAGAATAATGGTGGAGTCTCGGCGGAAATCATGGATCCTGACATACTGACGGATTATGACCAACTTTTCATAAATACGAAGTATTTTCTTATCAAGAGTAATAACTACGAAAATGTTGAAATCGCTAAGAAAAAGAATGCCTGGTCAACACCTATTGGCAATGAGAGTCGACTTAACAGAGCATATTACGATTCAAACAACGTCATATTGATTTTCTCGGTTCGTGAGAGTGGGAAATTCCAAGGATTCGCTCGTCTTGCATCACCATCTGATCCCCGTTTGCACATCGATTGGGTTCTTCCTTCATCCAGAATGTCTGTGAATGTGTTAAGCAGTCCTTTTAGACTTGATTGGGTCACAAAGTTAGTGGACTTTAGCATTTAAATTCATGTTTTAGACAGGAACTTCCGTTTACTAGTGTTTCTCACCTAACGAATTCTTGGAATGACGGTAAACAGGTTAAAATAGGTCGTGATGGTCAGGTTGGTGGATTAGCACTGCATTGGTTCACTTTATTTTCCTTAGGAGATAGAACCTGTTTGTGGTCAGGCGCTGTGTCGGCATTTCCCGCTGGATTCTATGGAGTCCATTCCTGCAATTGTTCGCAAAATTGAACCGAAGAAACCTAAGTTAAACGATTTATCTCGGCGTCGCAATGTCACGGACCGTCTTGGCGCTTCTCAATCGCATATCCCTTCGTCTTCAAGGCGATCCAAAGACTTGGGCTTTAACAACCCTAACTCTATCGGTCTTCTTGGTGCCGCTACCACTTCTTCGCGTCCTACAATCCCTCCTTTAATGTCCTCTTTGAACCTTGCCACTGCGGCAATGTCAACCGTTGCTGCTATGGCTGCAATGAAATCAAACCAATCTCGAGGCTCTCTGCTTCCTACCACGGATATCTCGAGATTTATCACACCCAACGCAAATATTCTTTCCCACCTCTTACCTCAGGCTGTTGGCACAGAATCAGTGACGCTTTCCGCTCTCTACTCTTCTCACGCACCAGCCATTAACAGGATTTTTCAGCAGGATGGTGTTTCGCCAAAACGGCAACGTAGTCGCGAACGGCACCGTTCGCCCAGCAGCCATTACAGCTCTGCTGGGCACCGTAGTGATTCAGACTACCGTCGTAGTCGCTACGACCGTCGTGATTATCGTCAATCTGACGAGTCCTCTTGTCGTTATCGTTCGAGGTTAGGAGGGCCGATACTAAAGACGATTCTCTGTTGGTGACTGTTATATTTTTAGTTTTCCCGGTCTCTGGGCTCTTGCCGTTGGGATATTGGATGTACATATGGAAAAATGTGATGAACATTACCGTTATTAGTAATAGTTTGCCGTGTGGCAGTAGTCATTATTATTATTGTGTATCTCGCATATCATTTATTATTGCTGCCTCTGTGTGTACCGTTCCTGCCTTGAACTGTCTTTCACCACCTGTGACTTTTCTTTTCAGGTTTTCAACAGTATATATTTGCTTGATTAACCACTGCTTATCACTGAATGAAGCTTGTAATGTTTTATACTGAACAACTTCATACGTTGATGTTAGTGGGTGAGCTGTGCGGTAGGGTACTTGGTGGGCTCCATTAATGCTGAACTTTCCGTTCTGCTGACGCTTCGATAGGCATTCTCGTGAGGATTCGCGTGGACGGCGCCACAGGGAGGGTGAGTTCGGCCGGAGGTCTGATACTGTAGTAGTTTGAGAACGCGTTTCTGAAAGTTATTCAATCTATGAAAGGTTACAGACAAAATTCTGATTGTTAGTCAACCTTGTCACTCCAATTAAATTTTGTCTTTGGTTATAAGGAACTGATTGTCAGTCATTGCAGTCAGAAAAGCGAGTGATTCTGGCTACCTTTGGTTGAGAGCACGTATTGTTAGTCGATGTTGATTATTAAATTTGTTTACAGAAGACGCTCATTTGTAGGACGTCGGATGTCAAGACGGAGTCGTGACCGTTCTATTTCGCCATCCAGAGCTAGTGCTTTCATCCACTGGGTAAGTCAAGCTGTTTCACTTACTCGACATCAGAACTACCAATAATAACTGATTCCTTGTATGACCACCGTATATTTTTAATTCGCTTTGCAGCTGTGTTCAAACGATCCAGAGGCACTATATGCGTGATAATTCTATTTCAAAATAATTTACATCGAAGCATGAGTTTTAGTGAGTAAAATGCAGTTTAGTGCCTCTGGGTTATTCTTCATGACCTTTAATTAGCATTTGTGACATTTCTGTATGCGAAACTCGGGTAAATTGCATTTCTTGTTCTGTAACTTACACTGACGGTATGATCAACATTTGGTATTACTTCATTTTCCCACTTGCATATTGCAGCGTTAGTGGGGTAGTGTGGGTTCTGAGGCTGTGTTGATGATCGTCTATGTTGTGTTGGATCAAGCTTCTATAGGTATTGGGTCAAGCGTTTTAAATGGATTTGATCTCTGTCAGATATAACAACTCGCAGCCATCATTACCACCAGCATGACATCGAATCTGGTCTGCGTCTATCATATCGATTTGTTATTTGTGCATAAGTACCGAGGTCCTCGCTGATGGACGGCTTTTTTAATCGTCGACACCACAGCTATAACGCATGGATCTCGGCTTCACAAACAGCACATTTGTCTTGTTTTCGTCAATATCCTAGTGTTATGTGTGCACCGAATTGCAAAACTTCCTTTTACCCGCTAGGAATGTTGAAGCCACACTACAGGCACGAACAGCAACTACTTTCCTAAAAGCCCGGCAAAACACTTGGTTTGGTACTATGTTATTTCTAGGAGAGTGGTATTGAACGTGATGAGCGTATTCTCATGCATAGCAATTGAGGCCATTTGGCCAAGCAATCCTTGTATTTTGCACTTATAATGGATAAGTTGTTTCCGTGAATTTGTAGGCTTTGTAATCAGCCACTCCCTGCAAATGTTTTCATGGCTTCAGTGATCATACTGCGCCGTGCGAAATTCATTTACGCATGGTCCACGAGCTATTTTTTGATAGCTGCAGGTATACCCTCTTTGAAATTGCCATTTCAGCAATAGTTGCATGAGCCACCTTTTCATTGGGACTGGTCGGTAGTAAGATGTGGAATTGTTGAGTTCGTTTCGATGAAACGTTATGGCACAGAACACGTGGCTTGGGTCACTTTGTTCTTTTCATCAGTTTGTCGCATCTTCTCATGTAGAACTACGAAGACTATCTCCAGGAGGTTCGACGTGGACTCAATCCGAATCTCAACTCTCTTGTAAGCTGAACACTAATTAACGCTTTGGGCTACTGGTTTTTCCAATGTTCCTTGCTCTGTTTTTATGTTTTAGATTAACGGCAACATCCAACACCGGCAGCAAACTGCATCCGATGCAGATAGACAGGTGGGTTTGAAAGAGAAAGCTGGTCCTTTTTGCGGGTGCTTCTTGGTACTGGTTTCTGTTCACTCAGATGAGATCCAGAGTTTGGATGGCAAATTCATTCCGATGTCATAAAGGTTGAAATGAGAAATTCACTCAGAACAGGAATGCTAGCACTCTTGAGAGTAAATAATTTGGGATATAATTCTTTAGGGTTACCGTCTTTACGTTCACTCACTACTTCTGCTGAACTACTTTGTGTTTGTTTCCCCTAAGTCTTATTACTAAATCGATTTAACACTTCATTTTAGGATTTTTGAGCCCCTAGAACTATCTTATCTTTATACCACACGCATAGCCTTCTTACCTGATCTTAATTTGAGCGATTGGTGTCAGTATATGGATTTTTTGACGCTTTAGAGTATCTCACACTGCAGGGAATGTTGCCTTATATACCTTATAGTTTAATGAAAGTGTTGACGCATTTTTGCGCAATACGATTACAAAATCAAGTTCTCAGCGCTCTAATGATGGTTATGGAGACTATGAAGAGGAATCACGCAGTCGTTCATCCTCCATCGAGCGTCACCACCGTCGCCGTTGTGATCGACGCAGTCGGCAGCGATCTTACGAGGACAGCAGGCGGTATGGGGGAGATGAAGACGGTAGAGATGGTCGCAGCTACTACTCGCGAAGACGCGGTCGTTCCCGCTCTCGGTTCTACTATGATGATGGCGAGGGCGATGACTATAGGGAAAGGATAGTGGATGATCTGCGTTATCGCCGCTGAAGTGGCGGTGCTTATCCTCATTGACATGCTGTAAATATCATCGGCTTTAGGATAGAATGTCGAACAGCGGTTGTGTCTATCGATTTTCTGCCTATCCGGGGGGTGGCGTCCGTAGGTGGGTTCTGGGGTTGGCAGTGGCGACTTCGACGCGTTGGGGTGGGTTCTTCGCCAGGTCCAATGTGCTGCGTTGTTTCTCGGCTAATGTTTTACTCTGGGAGGGGATTCATAGCTTTCTGAAGGTAGACACGCTTAGGAGTAAGTGCCAAACGAATTCCGTCCGAACCGTCAGTCATCATTTTGTTGTAGATGCTTCAGATCAACACAATGTAATCATGTGCCTAATGGAAAAAAGTTCTAGAAGAATGTTTCGTTTGCTTGTTTTTCTCTCTTTTAGGTGATAAGTTTTAGTTTTTACGCCGTGTTGTTTTAAACAGTCGATTAGCGAAATTTGGTTGGACGGTGCCACTTTTGCACTGATGGAGTTTGTTAAGTCTTCTCCTTTTAGGAGACTTATTCCGCGTGTTCAGTTTTACAGTGAGCCTCCTACACATACGATAGAATTGGAACAGTTAGAACAACTCGCTACTGAGCGTCTCAAAGTGTTGAGGTGCATTGAGGCTGTTGGTCAGGACTTGATACGAGGTAGTAAGGATTACGATCAGAGACTGGCTACTGAACTACCCAAGCTGGGATTACTGGGGAAGTCTTTCACTTTAACTTCAAGTCAGCTCAAAAATATCGCTGAGGATATTCATAGAGACGTTACCTCTCATTTTATACTCCAGGTGGGCACCTATATATTGTGAGTATTTTGCGTCCTTGCTGATCGTATCCCCGTCCTCTAAATTCATTTGGAGTTGACAATCATCTGCTTCACAGAAAACTCGCTCTTCAGTGTTAATATCTCAATTTTCACACATCCTTCATTTTTAAAATTTGTCTGAATCGTCTCCAATTGCATACCAGATTGCTTACTGCCGCAGCGACTCAATGCGCCGATGGTTTATTCAACAGGAATCGGACCTTCTTCGTTATCGATTTAATCTAGAAAGAACCTCTTCCGGACATGATTCTGAAGCTGTTCGTGAATTCCTCCATGTAAACAATCTTCATTTTTCTACCATCAGTCCAGACGAGTCATTGCGTCTTCGGGATCAACTTCGTGCTGGCACTGTCATCTATGGTGTTAATGCAGATTGTGCAACTTTTTACAGAGTAGGCTTTGCAGAATTTTGCGATTTCTGTCCCGGTAAAACAGTTACTTCGCTTTTACCATCCTTTTCAGGTGCACTTCACGGAGGTTCTAGATCTTGTTCGTAGACGTCAGGTCTTTCTCAAAGTCGGCTATGCCTACGTCCCGGACGTTGAATTAGTTACGCTTGTGGTGACCCGCTTCCGCGCCTCTCTCTCCCGCAGTCTCTCTCGCCTGGATCTTGCTCTTGTGTCCCGCTTGGCAGACGAAGGTACACGTTTGTTGCCTCTACTCACGAGCATTTCTAAACGCTACCTTGGTGAAGACGACTTCGGAACAAAGTCCGCCTTCGGCGCCGTCTCTTGTAGCCAGGTGAACGAGTTGGCTCGAGTTCCCGGTCTTTTTCCACCCTGTATGTCGCGTTTGCATGAGGCTTTAGTTGCCAACCATCATCTCCGTCACTGGGGTCGTATGCAGTATGGACTATTTCTGAAGGTATGCTTCTGTATAATGACAACATCTAAGGACGGGCCTTGTTGTTCCCTCTTTCAGATTTTAAGCGTTTTGAGTGAATCACAACGTTTCACTTTTGGAAATGCTTCCTTGAGGAACTGGAAATTTGAATTTTTCGGTGCACTAATCTAAGTGTTTTTTGAGGAACTTGATGTTGATGCAAAGAAAAGGAAATTAGTTTAGTAATATTATTCTACATTATATGCATTCTCTGTGGTAAACTGAGGGGTTAATTTATCTTCCAACCTCTGATTTCTCTTAGGTCAAACTAGTCGCGTTAATGTGACCAAGTAGGCATAAATGTTTTTAGGGAATAGGTTTATCAGTGGACGAAGCGCTGAAATTTTGGCGAAACTCATTTGCACCGAGGGTTGATTCGGACCAATTTGCAAAACAGTACTCTTACAGTATACGCCATAACTATGGTAAAGAGGGAAAGCGGGCGGACTATACTCCCTACTCCTGTATGAAGGTAAGCTAGTTGGTTTTTTGCTTAAGGGACTGTCTGTCGATATCGCAGGTCCGGGTATCTTATGTTAGTTCTGTTCTTTTGTAGATCATTTCATTCAGTCAGCCAGGCACTGGAGAATTTCACGGTTGTCCATTTCGCCATTTAGATTTGGATTTATTGAGCCAACGTCTAGCTTTTGGTGGTAGAGTATCCTCCGATCAAGTTGAGGCGGTCGTTAAACGAGCCAAGGATAATCAGTATCAACAGGCCTGCAGGGAGTTCTTTAAAGTTAGTTTAACACCATTCCATTTACTACTGGTTTTGACGTATCAGAGGACTGGTACTCAGGTCTCCTTTAAATCTGTAAATTAGAAAGTCAAGGGGTCTTTATTGCTTTAGATTTTACATCCAGATCTATCACCAGAAGATGCAGCTTCAGTGGTGATTATCCACCCAAACCAGTACTACGAGATGGCTCGAAAGGCCGATAGGGGAATCCCGTTGTCATCAAGCGGAGAGTCAGGAACCGCGTCTCAACGCGCCAGCGGTACAAAGTGGTGTGCCATGAAGGTTCCATTGAATGACTCCCGCCTAGCAAGTCAGGGTCGGTCTGTTTTGGGCAATTCCAACAACGATGATGAATCTTCGGATATTGATTCCGCTAGAATACTCAAATAGCGATCTTTGATTCCTAATGTCAATTTTCCACCTGGGTTTAAACTTCCACTTCAAGGGGGTTTTGAGTTTACGAGGCTCCTGATAGATGCGTCTATCTTTTACTAGCGTTTGTACATTATGGGAAATTAATAAATGTACTTATTTGTTTAATTAAATGGTTTTATTTATCTATCCATGCGAATTTGATTGCTTGTCTAGTGTGTTTCTTCAGTCGACTCAAGGAATTAATCTTAGCTCGAAAGCGATCGTCCTCAATTGTGCTATGGTGTATCTTGCTCGCATATGACAAGGTCTAGCTTGTATTGCATTGTTCTATCACCGCATCCTGGAGCTCCGGTTTTTGTAAGCTAGTCACCTGCTGGGTCAAGATCCTCACCGTGGTAAGCACACATTTTAAGCAATTAGTTCCAGAGATGTTTTGAAGGCACGGCAGGTGGGTGGGCGTTGACTTGGAGGTTTGTTCGTGCTGTGGATTCGTCCATTGTTGCTCCCTCCATTTGGTGCCTCAACTACCATTTTCCCAAGAGGCGCTTCTTGAGGGATGCTTTTGCGCCAATGAAACCTTCTTAGTCACTTGGTCCACTTCCCTAGCCACCTTATCTGAATGGTTGGTAGTCTGATCAATTGATAATTTAATTAGCTAGGCGACTTATCAATCGGTATCGGATGAGTCAGTCATTTCATGGAGGGAGCACTGCTTACTAATTCTGCGCCTAGTATAGCGTTGTACTGACATCTGATGGGATGTATTTGGCGTATTTAATGGTCGCTCTATTGACACAAAGTGGTGCCTCCTTTAACACTCATATTTGCCCCGAGGAGGTTTCTAGCGGGATCCCCTTTGACATATACGGCAGTCCTATTCTCCCCGTTGCCCTCTATAGTGACCACTCTAATGAGATTTTGCCTCCATCATGGTCAACTGTTTCGGGTATTTGGACACAGAATCTCTTGGATGCGCTGTCTACTCCTGATTTGTCTAACTGTCTCTTTGATGACCTACCCGAATGTGAAAGTACCTTCGGAGAAGCGACGGAAAGGCTATTACCCCCCTATGAATTTCCGCAGGTATCAGATCTTCTAGTGAAAGAGGTGCGTGGAAAAAAGTGGGGCAAATCAAGTCTCTATGATTTTAAAAATACGACGTTGGTGGTGATAAGGCGGACAATATTGATTCGTTGCTTATACTGGTGTCATGCAATTTTGCATCTGCCGATTGAACTACGTCCAATGATGTCGGATGTATGTCCAAACCCCTGCAATCAGGGTAACGTTTGCTTAGGGACAGGCGACGTTTATAGAACATGTCAACTGACTGGAGAGGGTTTTTTTTTGCACCAGTATAAATGCACCTGTAAGGAGAATTTCGTCTGGGACCCTGCCGTGCAGGGTTGCATACCAAACAATCCTTGTGAACGGCAAGGAGAGTCGGTGTGCTATTCTAACGGAACGCTGTTGTGTTCATACGATCCTGCTTTTAACGTGAGTAACAGCATTTAAATTCGTTTCCATTTCATGCGATTCAGTTGTAGTTGTAGCTGATTAATTTTGCATGGCATTGTGGGCATATTGCTTTGTTTACTTTCCGTTTCCCAAAAGAGGGTATTGCCTCCTTATAGGATATAGTAAGTCTTCAATCCATTGCATTCCTGATTCTTTCGCTTTACCAATCAGGAGGTTTCCTGCCTCTGCAATCCTAAATATATGGGTGATACCTGTTCCATTCCTGCAAATGCCTGTGAAGATTTAATTCGAAATCCCCTGCTGCCGAACGGAGGACTTACATCCGCGGGTAATCGAGCCTGCAACGTCAACAACGATGGCAACCGCTGCTTACCCGGCCTCGATCCTGATTTGGGCCCCATCTACTCCTGCACCTGCTCGACCGGTCGGTGGACTAGAGACATCAGTCTGGGCTACGACAACTGTCTTAAGAAGGTGACAAAGTGTGATCAGATCATCTGCATCAAAGGACAATGTGTCGATAGTCGAGATGGCATTGAGGTTAGACTACAGTTACGAAATGTTGGCAAAGTAATTTCATTTTGGTATGAAATGGAACAGGAGAACCCAGATTTCGGGTACCTACTAATTTAAAGATAAGATCAAATTGGTACTTTTAATGTACTGGTTTCAGTAGCTACCGGCTCAATGCGTAAAAATACAATCTTGGCGCTTCCGAGATTTTAAATTGTTGCCACCTGCCTTCACTCCTTAAAGTACTAGCCTTCAAAACCATCATCTCATGTTGTTATCCAATGGCTCCATTTGATACCATCTTTTTAGCATTCAAAATCATTGGGAGGTAGAATCCATTATTAAGTTTGAAATAGCACGCCCAGCCTTGTCCAGCAAAGTCCGGTCAGAACATTTTAGAACAGGAAATTTAGAGAACTTGTGGACCATGGAAGAACGCAGTTAGGGAGAATTAACTGTCAATATCTGATAGCGTCTATAGTTTTGTAACTTAACGATGTTAATGATAACCCCTTGTGTACTACAAAGAAAGCCATGAAATCTGTCTGTCAGTGTTTCAAATTTAAGGTTGACGTGAACAAAGTTGTAGCCACTAGATCAGCATGACCATTAGTACTATGCTCTACGCAGAGGGACTGGACTCCTACCAGCAGAAGAAATTGCTCTTATGTCATATCATCTAGACTTTGGCAGTTGCCCTCTAAGTGCCTTATTTAGGTTGTTCATAGTTTGTCCACTTTCGATCCTACTGCCTTATGCATTACTTTTAGTACTGCTGCTGCAACTACTCGAATTCATTGATAAGGCCAGATTTCATTACAGTTTAACAGCAGTGCAAACTTCACTTAACTTTAGTTGTACCTAGAAGTTCTTTCAGTTTCTATCAAGTTCATTCAAGTCATGAATGACTCGCAGAAGTTAAACCAAGTTATGAACCGTTTGATAATCTCTTTACCTCTTTATTCAATTTATTCCACGTTATATACTTGTTACCTTGCCTAAACCTCATTTCTTTCCGACAAAGGCGGCGTGTGTGTGTGAGGAGGGCTACGATTCGCCAATGTGTGCTACATGGACAGGCGTTTGGAGCTCATGGACGCCATGGAGTCATTGTTTGCCGGCCTGTGGTGTGGAGCGATGGGCCATCCGCACCCGACGCTGTATTACGGCAGAGCACTTCACTGCGTATTCCGAGAACATTGATTGTCGTGAACCCAGTGTCGAACTCGTCCCCTGTGACCCTCACTCCTGTGCGCGTAAGTCGTCCTTAATCAATGATAAGGCCCAGGGAATGCTACAGAACGGCACTGGAGCGGCCCAATCTTCTGGAAGTACCAGGCTTCGAGTGGCCCATTTTACACCAATCCTTCCACTGGCTTACTCTAGTTTTCAGTACTTTCTGTGCATGATACGTAATGTACTGCTCCTTCGCCTACTTAGCCATTATTGACAGCGAATTTAAGCCTATAAATTAAATAGCCACCATTTCGACATTTAACAACCACGGGCGCTTAATCGCCCTGATCTTACAGATGCAACAGCTTCAGACGTTCGAACCTAGGATTTTTTTTCATTCAAGGATGCTCGACTTCCAACGTAAGAATCCACTTCCTCTCAAGTGATTACAAGAATTAACAGCACAACCCGAATTTAAATTAAATCTTTTAATGACTAACGGTCCCAAAAGTGAGCGTGAATATTCTATCTTCGTTCAGCTGACGAGGGTGCAACTCTAACCCGATACTTTGAAATCCGGGAGCACGCTCTTCAGGCAGTGTTCGTACTTGCAGCTGCAACAGGTGCGCTCCTAGCGCTCTGCTGGAGGCTTTCTCTTCACGCCAAATTGGCTACCCGAATGAAGCTAACATTAAGAAGGTCCCATTAACTGTAAGAACCCTGATTTCACAATTGACTATTCTAACCCCGGTCGCACCCCCTCCTCCCTTTGGATGTTCGAAAACTCGTGAGCCATAACGACCTGGAGCACTTGTTTACAGAAAAAAACCTCCATTGTTTTATTGGGGTACTTTTAACAGCTTTATAGTACAGGTGGAGTGACGGCGTTCACAATGAGATGAGTTTGAACCCTGCGGCCTACTGTAAGCAAAGTAGCATTAACTTGAATGTGCAACGTACAAATATGCTTACAGAGACCAAGTAACGAGGTTAGTTTAGTAAGAAGAAAGTTCCTCCATCTGTTCTTAACGCCGGTTGATGAGAAGTCAATAGACTCCAATGGAAACCATTGACGTAGGAAATATCGAACACTGAATGGAGAAGCAATGAAATCTACACAGAACGCTAAGTTACTCACAAGTATGAGACAAATTAATCACTGCAAAGTATGTGTGGGAAAAGTTAATAGGGAGCATTCGTTAGTGCTACGAGTACACCTGATAGGCACAGAATCATCCACTCCTCACTAAGCATGAACCGCAAAGAATATTCTGCGCCAGGCAGTTGGTTAGCACGCGATGAAACATAGTTTTAAACAAATGGAAAACGGCTTCAAATATTTCCAAAAATCAAGTATTACTGTAGTTTTAAGCAAAATACCACAAATGGGCACCCAGAACATGGGCTTAGTGATTGCAAATAGCGGAGCGTATAGCCACGAATTCCAAGAGAAAAACTACCAGATAAACAAGTTTATACCACAGCTTTCCAAGCACTTGCGAACATAAAGCACCTTTATTCCTAAAGCAAGGCCATCAAGATGCGAAATACATACAAAGTTTATCTACAATCTAGAGGCACATTAGGCATGCTAATCAGGTGAAAATGACTCCCAGTAGCCTCTGACGCCAGGAGACCTCCTCAAAGATTGTTGAAACCATCCCCGATCGGGACGCCTTCGGACCGGCAAAGGCCCCATTCGTCGATACTGACGCGAGAGAAACACCTCGTTTCCCCAATTCTCCAACCAATTGATCGCTGAGGAAACGCCGACTGATGCTCGACGACAACAGTGTTGCTAGATTGATAAGATCCTCCTTGTCTTCTGAGATATCCTGAAAAGTTATCAAATGATTTTAGGACACCATTAAGTCAAGAAAATTGATATTGCGATTAATCAGGCGCAAAATTAAAACAAGAAGTCGGAGTCTTTATTTAGGTAACTCACTGTTTCTGTTCTAATCGTGTCTATTGCTTCCTCAACCTCATCTGGACCTTTATCCGTGATTCTTTGCCATGGCGTAGAAAGACTCGACTCCAACAACTGCTTCGGTTTGAGTGTAGCAGAACACACAGCTATGCGAAGCGCACTACTGTCCTCTGTCAGAATATCCGAGAAATCAATTTCCTTCTCGCCCCAACTCTCCGACTCTTGCTCCTTCTCCTGCAGACGTTCCGAGAGGTTGGAAAGGAATTTATCGAAGCGACTATCCCCTTCTTCAATGGACTTTTGTGCTTGATTGTTGGCAGCTGTTCGTAAAGTAGCTGTGGTCATCGTTGCATGGTCAGGAGGTTGCTCGCATTTGAGCTGCTCCCCCTGTGCCTTGTGAATCTGGTTTTGTGATTGTGACTGCTGCAGCTGAGATGTGACCTTCTTGTTCGGTTGATCGCTCAGCAAAAGCATCGACCGTTTGGCCATTTCTCCGGACAGAATACCTACTGGGAGTACCTCCTCTAACTCTGTGTCTGAAGTTACCTCCTTGAGGAGTGGTTCCAGAAGAGTGCTCACAAAGGAACTTAAATGCTGCTTGGCAGATGGTGACGATCTATTCTCATTGTTTGATAGAGTAGCCCGTGATTGGGAGTGCTGAGACTCACTTCGACACTAAAGTGAAACAAGATAAAATATCTAAGAACAAAGATTTTAGTACTTAATGTTCATGATGCATTTCAAGGTATCCTGACTCGCTTGAATCCCTCTTCTTGGCTTCTATTTGAACGGCAACGAGTTTCTTGCTCCTCGAAATACTTTCGACTTGAAGACCTTTTCTCCTTCACTATCGTCTCTTCATCCTCTTTTTCCAACGACCGCCTTCGATGATCCCTCCGACATTGCTCCTTTCCTTGACGTTCCTCTTCGTCTTCCAAAGCCACTAACTCATTCTTAACCGTCTCCTCCGACTTGTAATCACAATCACGGCGTAGTAAACGTTCACTAGCCTCTCCCACGCCTACACTATCTACTGCTGCACCCTCTGTCGCCACAACATCATATGTCAGACGACGTCGTTTACGCTCCGAATGGTGCTTTTCTTCCCGCTCCCTCCCAGACCTGCCAAAACTGGCCACTTCGCGCTCCCTGTGACGGTCATATTTGCGACTGAGATGATGACGATGGCGGTGCCGATTGTGTCGAGCGGGAGGTGATCGATCCAACGATGATGGAGTAGGAGACTCACGAGGAGACACTGGAGACATGTCTTCATCAAAGCGTTTCTTCTCTGGACTTAAATTCAAACGAAAACTTAAAGAAATTCGCCCAAACATGTATGCAAAATTCAGGGCTTTACTGAGTCAGAATATAAAGCTAAGTGAAATGTAAACTGACGTTGTTCTTCGAGATTCGACAGGGCGACGACCCACTTTGACTTGTGATCGTGGAGAACGTTCGTTAGATTCCGACATTCCGAGTTAGGCTTAACTTGAGCGCCCAATCTTAGATGCAGGCCTGCAGGAGGATCCAAGCACATAGTAATGATCAGGCTAACTTCAAACTAGTTAGTCGTAGAAAATGCAGACATATAAGGAATAATGATCGCAAATGGAAAAAATCAACAAAATGTCGCCTTGAAAATGATATACATGAAAACAAATGATATTTATAGAATAATAACGTGATTTATCATGATGCAGAGAAGAATTTCCTTCGACACTAGAAAATTATTTGCAAGAAAATCCATTTAGCGAAACTAGATCCAAGCCATAATCTTCATAAAGACTTTCATATAGCCACTAGCTTTAATGACTCATAGGACTCGTACTATCGGCTGCAATAAAGCGAAGAAGCCGTGTCTGACATTGTACTACGACGAAACTATAAAGGGCTACCTGACACAATGCACTAATTCAGGCACGAAATCAGCATGATCAGTATGTGCTGTCTCCACACAACTGCATAGTAGGTATCAATGATGGTTTTGAATCAGCAAAACAGTAGCTTAATGCATAAATAAAGTACACAAAGAGCATGAATTAAGCCACAAGGTTCACACTCATCGGATCAGGAAATAAAGCCATGCTAAGCAAAGGCAGAGGTGACCGCCCAAAAGCTATAACCTTTGCGAAGTGCACTCAGTCAACATGAGCAGATTTTAATCAACAGGAATAAGTGAACACTACATTCATCCACGGGGCATTGCAACAAAAATATCTTCAATAGCGTTGTGAAATATGTCGTTAAAATAATTCAAACCACTCAAGAAAAGTTGCTTTAATCAGTGATTTGTGTCTAAATTACCAAGAATTACAACTCCTAATCCATTATTAGCGTTAAATGTATATATACGACCGGCAAACTTAATTAATTATTATTGCAAATCAGCTCTGGGACTCCCTGCCCACCCTCAGACCCCTGAACCTCGGACTTCATGAGAGGGTTGGCTAAGGAAGGATTATTTGGCATCATGTGCAGGAAAAGGAAATGGGAAGGAGGAAGTTGTAGCGTCTCGAGCCTCCCATAGGGTGAAAGAAGGCAGAAGTGAGGTTGAATACATGTATTCCGAAGACGACAGGGCAAATGGGGCCTGAGCGTGTACAGGGGCCAGACAAATTCCAAAGTGGCCGCCAAACGTCCGGTAGTCACATAAACAAAGCATTACACTGCCCCTCTCTCCTGTTGAGCGACGTCCTCGACGCTCGCCTTGGTGCACCTCCCGCGCCAACCATCACAACATATTCAGTACCACAAGTAAGCACTCACGAGCCAACCGCGCCATTCGACAAACAACACGAGACTAAGGAACCGCACCTGGTCTCCCCGTCAACTTCAACCGCGTGTGGAGTTACATTCGGTCTGACAAGCAGATTGGCGGCCGCATACACCTGTTGACCATCAATTGCTTCCAGAAATAGACGGTGTAACTCTGGTCCAAAACATAGGTGTTACAGAGGAAACGGGATGAGCCACTGTCCCCTATGTAAGGAGAACCGTAGTGTCATTTCCGACACCTAAACACGAATTTTGAAGGTGAAATTCCGACACGAAACTTCTCCAGATGTTTCACGGCGATGTCGCCTCGGTTGCTAATACCTTGTCTGTGGAGCACGAGAATGAGGCGAAACCAAATGCAGACGTCCGTCTAAATTCTTTCGTTATGAAGAATTTAAGGATTCTCCCACCACCGAGGTAAATGCGCTCCCTGCACACCGTAGGTACATTGAACAAACGGTACGTGCTATGGATAGAGGTCGTTAAAATAACATCGCGTTTGCTCTCCGCTGCCACCAGTGTAGCACCCAGAGACTTCCCATTACATCTCCTACCTAGTGGAAAGTCCTAAGACACCACACCATTGATATTGGAAACATTCTGTTTTGAATCAAACATTCCTTGTAGATGAGAATCATGCACCTATTTCCAATGCTGTACTACAGAATTGTTTGCCCCAGACCGCTATAGACACTTTCCGTACTCGTTCTTTTGTTTGTAGACAACTTGTAACCTTTAGAATGTCGAAGGAAGACCTTGAATGATAGAAGGGAAACAGGTGCTGCCATTGTAACACTTTCGTAATGTGGTCATCCGGTGTCTGGCAGTTACATCAGTGTACTTCTGACCCTTATACGCGTAAATTGGCCTTTAGACCATATCAAGACCCCATTGTAAGAGCTGCCTGTCTACCCTCTGGTCCTTGAATCTCAGACTTCAAGAGAGAGTTGGCTGCAGATGATTTATTATTTGCGCGCGCGTGATTCGCGTTCCCATCTGGTTCCCGCCTCCCACCTATAATGGTCCACTTAAACAAACTAGTGCATATTACTCTTATACCTTCCTCTACTCAACGTGATGCCTAATTTTTCCTAGTTGTTAGTCATGCCATAGGTTATATTCTAGGGTATTCAATGAAGCAATCAATGAACAGTTCTGCAAGCTTTAATCATTTTTCAAATACCATTCGTATTACTATATCATAAAAAGTATCAGGATCTAATGGGGAAGCTGTCGAGAAAGTTTTTTAAGACGATGAATTGTTTCTTAGTTATATTTCAAAGAGGTTGAATCTTATTTAAAATAAAGATCCTTTGTTCATCTTTTAAGCATGTTGTTAAAGTTGCCTAGTTGTTCAAGGCCGTTCTGTGTTTTCTCGAAGGGTGTGTGATCTGTTAGTTTACGGTTTCTCGAAACATAAGCCTCGAGGTCTTGTCACGAAAGATTCGTTAGGCTTAAATGCCTGTTCAAATTTTGAACCTCTTTTTTTAAGCTTGTTCAAATCACCCGTTAGTCATAATACGTGTCAAGTAGCTTACATCCCAAGGCAATCGTGATTTGTCGTGGTGTGCCTGTGCTTATTCGCTAGGAGAAGCTGATAGGTTTGTTTTGCTTTTGGCTGAATGGTCGAGCTGTGTGTCTGTCCGCTCTGGATGTAGTTAAATGCACTAGTTGTAGTGTTTAGTCCCTCTGGTTGTATGGTGGCGTGCCTTTTTGTTGTACCATTGATAACAGCGACACCGTTTTGTTCGTGGTGCAGTGCTTGCTCAATATCGATCGTCTATTTCCTGCTTACAGTATGGCACATAAATGTCCTACGGACGAAGAATTAGTTCAAATGACGACGATGCAATTAAGAAGCCTCCTCGAGCAACACGTTATTTCACAGGAGCAGCACCGTGAACTTCGAACTCGACGTCGCCGCCTTCAAAATCGCAAATATGCACGTCGATGCGCCAAAAAGAAACAGACCGAAGTTGCTGAGTTAGCGGCAGCAGCCAAGAAGGAGTCTTCAGCCATAAGAGTGCGTTTACTCAATTATACCGTGCTTTTTTGCAGTTTCTTCCTTTTTTCTCATCTCTGTAAAGTCATTTGATGCTCAGATGTCCAAACTTTTTTTGCTCTCCAGTCCCGTTTGTGTCGATGTCTTTCCATCATATTATCTTCGCTACGAAGATTTGAGCCTATAAAGTGTATTTTTTGGCCTTGCTTCTACAATTTTAAATTAGGACTAATGTCAATCTCCCTTAGGTAGCTATCCATCAATTTTTATTTCAACGGTTACAACTTCTGTATTGCTTTACTTATTTTCATCAGGGTAGTTCGATGCTTTTTATTTCTGCTGTTGAATCAAAGCGCGTTGCAATTAAGTCCATTCTCATCTCTTTGTTCTTTATTGTATCGTCGCTACTAATACTTGTTTGTGCCTCGCTGTATAGTGTATTTGAGGCCCTGAAAATATCGCCCCAATGATGGTGGAGGCTGCTCGTAACGTTTTTATTAGCAAGTCTATCCAATTTTTTAACTATGAGTGAATGATCCGAGCGGTTATGAAGTCACCTAAATGATCCGACCTTATTTTGGTAGCATTTTAAGCAATGCCACCAGGAACATTAGGTTTACAGGCTTATAGTCGTATCTTCCCTTAAGCTAGGCCGCAGATATTTGCAAAATTTTTGACTACATTGTTTTCGTGCATGTTTTACTTGGAAAATTTTCAGTTTTACTATATTGGATAGTAGTGTCTGCTAATTTCTGTTACGCTTTGTTGCTATTCTCTTTAGTGTCTTAAATGCGATCCAAATTACTTGTTTATTGAGTTCTGACTTCCCAATATATCACTTGCTCCTGATTTAAACTTCTCTTCCGACGTCTATATTTTTTGTTTGCCATCATTTTTATTGTTTTTATGGAATTCAACCCACCCAACAACCACAATTCTCAATTGTAACTAACATTTGAATCTGTAGAACGCATTCCAGAGCTGCTAGCTTTGCTTTCGAGATCTGCATCCGATCAAAACTTCAGAAAATAAGTAAGCCTGGAACATTTGAGTTTTAAACCCAAAATCCCTTATATTTAAACTTGACTGCACTTTAATCACAAATAATTGGAAATATGTTATTGTGACTGTGATCTTCGCAACAGTAAGCCGTATTTGCGTCTGCTTTCATGCTGACATCCGTTCCACCTGTGGCGCGCCAGTGCAGACATCGATAATCATTATGAGAGGTGTCTAGCGGCATGCGATAGCGTAGTTTCTCGAAGGAAGGTGTAAAGCGATAATGGATTGCGGCTTCGAGCATGTTGTAGTATCAAAACGCTCTGGTATAAGCAATAAGAATCAATCTTTTGTCGGTGACGATCCTGAGTACGGGTGATTTCTGACTTACAGTAACTAATGCGTTTCTGTTTGTGCTTAATTCGCGAAACAAATCTCTAATGCTGAATATCTAGGTGTCGCATATTTTGTTATGAGAAAATTCCTTTGCTTATTTGCAACTTTTGAGTTAGCGTTCGTTAGATATCAAAGTAGGCAGATTGTACTGGAGGAATGTTCTGAACGTTCAAATGCGCTCATTGCTACTGCACATTCTGTGTTAGGAATCAAACGTCTTTGTTGTTACTCCTGTTTCACATTTCTCTAGGTCTAAGTTTCAGCAAGGGAATTTACTGCATCGTTAATTTTTACTTAATAATGTTTTTTCTTGCCTTGTTAAGTCTCTGCGACATCAACTGTCGCGGTTGAACACCTCGGTGGACAGGCTGGATCGACAAATTGACAGTTTGGCAAAGCTGCGTATATCCATGACCGAGACACCTTTCTCCCTCCGCATGGTGGCATCCGATGGCACAGAACTGGGGTTAGCTCATTTTAACAGCCATCACCTGCCTCTGCTATCCTGTGAGAGGGAGGAGGCTGTTTCCATGGCCGCCGCCAACCACTTTATACCGCGCATCTGTTTTAAGACGAAACCGCTGATACAGCGAAATTTGTGTATTAGTAAAAGCGCCACCACTTCTACCGCTGCTGCCTCTAACATGCGAGTACCCGTGCCTCCAGCTGGCGGTGCCTGTAGCTCGCCTGCCGAAGGACAGAACTTGTAAATGAACTTGGACGTATTCATGCACTTGTCCCATTTTTGCGTTCTCACATAACCTTGTTTTTTCCTTTGACTTTTTAACTTGTATGGTATCAAATACTTGTTTTTTTGTGTTTGATGCGGCTTTTTATGCGTTATGGTCTCTCTGAAGAGGCGCATGCATATACGAGAAGCCTAGACAAAAGTAGCACGGGAAGTGGTTCTGTTAATCCAAAGGATAGATGAGGTCTAGTGATCGGTTCTCCATTTTCTCACGGGTTCACGAAGGGGTTTCGTGTGAAAATGATCCATCAACTCACCGTTCCATTTCGGAGGAAAGAAGGGAATGGAGACAACTATGGGACCAATTGTAAGATGCAGGCTGCTCTTAACGCCCTGCTTTGATTTGGATGTTGCACAAATGGGCCCCGTGCCAGTGCTCATTCCCATTATCGCTTCCATCCGAAAGCTTTAAAGTAGCAGGTGTGACCTTTGAGTTAGCAGGGCTAATTAATGTTCCAATAGGATGAAGGGATGAGGACAGGCATCATTGGAGGTAATGGCGTCTCAAGGCTTCCCATCATGTTAAGGAAGGCATTAATTGTGGCTGAATACGTGTATAACGGGAAATGGGGAGCGGTCTGGCCTTGACATGACACAGCTTCCAGTCTACACGTGTAAGAGCAAGACGAGCACCAAATTGGTCGCCAGTCATTATAGACATTATAGCTCGCAATTCTAGTATGCGTTTTGTGTCTGGGTGTGAGTACTAATCTCTTCTGGGTTTAGTTATCTACATTTAAGGCAGTTGACCATATTTTCTGCCTCAACTAATGGAAATGGCAGTGCACGTAAATGTATTCCACACACACACATCGTGTTGCCAAAAGGGAAGCATGGACGCCACTAACACGGTGAATTCAGCACCCAAACAGCTGCTTTTCAGCCTTATTTTTTCTTACACTGTGGCTACAATCCTTGTTTCATAACACATGTACAATTACTCGTTTTAAACTTTCAAGCTAGTCAAATGTCTCGAGAGCAAAATATACGGAGCCTTGTATCCATTTGCAGATCAAACATTGTTAATAAACATGTACATTCGTTTTGTCCCTGTATACAAGTGACCTAGCCCTAAATTCTACCCTACATTTTTGTGGCGCGGCACTGTAGAGCTCAAGTCATACCCAAAGGCAAAGAAAAGCGCTACATCTGAGAAGATTCAATGTAGTATGTACACGGACAGATTCGAGGCCACTGGCATTGCGAGAGGCCATTCCAACGTAAACTAGTAAACAGATGACAAATGAAGGAACTAGAGAGTTACATAAGCAGCGGACGCATTGCAAAGTAGCAACCTCATTGCAAAACGCCAGACAGAGGGAATTATATGTACCCACGGCAGCCCACCTCTCGATGTTAAAAAGGCCTCTCGGGCCTTACTGAAATACAGATACTGGAAAGTAACAGCAATCCATAATTTATTAGAACGGGCTTAAAAAATCACTATAGATGATATACGTACTCTAGCTATTGAGGTAAGGAGACATTTTACCACGAGTAAGTCAGCAAGGATACAAAGCAATGATGCCTTTTAAAAAAACAAACATATTAAAAAGCCAGAATTCCCAGCTACATATATTTTTTGTTAATTAAAGCAAGGCTAACTCTCTTGAGAGTAAATGAATTTTATTGTTTTGTTCAAATTATGTCCCAGAAATTTGTTCTAATGCTTCGAATGGGCAAAAATAGCGCGGACTTGCTGTTGGTTGGGTGAAATTCGACACCGCGAGTTCGAAAATTACTGGCGTTGGTTCGAATCCATTCTGTGCAAACTGTTTGTGAGAATGATTGGATTCGGGGTTTTGCTTACCATCGTAGTCCCCGTTCTTAGCTTTAAAGATGTTGATTTATCAACGTGCACTGTGACTAAGGGGTGCTTACGACCTCCAATCTGCGTTGACAATCTATGTGAATATGGAGCGACCTGGCGACTTGTTGAACAAGATGAAATCCAGTACATTGAATTTGAGCTTTTTGGTGATATAAAGTCAAGTAGCGGATTTATCTCTCTCGTTTTTTCAAGGGATCCCTATTTTGTAAGCCATTTGGGTTAATTATCAGTTTTGGTTAAAAATGGGTCTATTTCTGTGTTTTTTATTGCATGTTTATATACAAATTTGCTGGAGGAGCTTCTTTCTTGATCTCCTCTCTTTAATATCATTCTATGCAGTGGTTAGCTTCCTCCTATTTGAGGCCTTATTGGAGGGAATGCCGATGCTAAGTGAAATTCATTAGTTTTTCACATCTGATCCGGAACTCTCAAGCAGTTGATGTTAAGTCATCTTCTATCTGCTAACCATTGTACTTCAGTTTTGATGATGTTGTGTCCATTAGCAAATTATTTAAGTTGGTTTTCATAGGATTTTAAGAATAACAACTCACAAGTTTTATTTCTGGTATTTTTGAGATAAATCCATATTTTGGTATTTGCAACTTCATTGATGTAATGCGTTGGGAGAACAGGCCCTTGCACAATTAAGTCGGAACATTGTTATGGACATTTATTATTCTTTCCGAATTGTTAGATGATTTTCGCAAAGAATTTTGTTCCACGATGCTAGAGTTGAAATATCTCTCCGATATCGGCGTTGTTTAGTTGTGCCATATGCTTTTGTGCTTTTTCCGCTCCTTATAAATTCTTTAGACCCAATCAGCTGGTTTCTCCTAACACTTGCTCATGTGCATGACATACTAAGAATTTGCATTTCCTTATCTTATCAGGAATGCCATTATCTTCTTCTCTCCCCACCCCTGATAACACCATTTGTTTAGCTGGCACCACAACTGCTGCATCGGTACAAGGCATAGCTTGACACATAATTTTGAGATCATTTGTTCTTTTTTTTTCATTAGACGCTTCCATTTGGTGGCCTTGACTGAATGTGATGGTTTTGTTGGCCACTAATAATTGTAGTCCTAACGATTTCTTAGAGGAAATGCCGTATTATGTCATATTCGTGATCCCCAAACCCTTATCTGCCACGCGTTGTGTGCTGCACGTTAATCGATAGTCAGTGCATGCGAGCGGGCGTATATGTGCGCGTAAGCGTGCAATTTCCTATTTGTAGCCAATCGCAAGGTTACTTTTAGCGGCCGTTCCTCTCTCTTCTTCCCCAAACAGCCTAGCATTCGTGTTTGGAAGATCCTAGAACTGGTTTGGCATTGATTTTCTGAAGGTGGGCGGCTGCCTCCCCCACAAATGCGTTCAGGTGCTTACGCAATACTTATAGAAGGGTAATGAATAAGCATGATGTGTTTAGTCATCGAAGCTTGGCAGTCTCACAATGACCATTAGGTTTATTTTCCAGTTGTGGTAATTTCTGTGCTAAATCTATGTGCAAATTCGAATGAAAATGTAAATAGAACCTTGTTCTTCCTCGGCTTCCATAGAACAGCGTTATAATATCGATGCAGTGGAAGATTGTAGCAAGGAAGACAATATAAAAACGTTGACTAAAAATCAGATACTTTTTAAACGCCATAATCTATAGAATCAAAAGGACACTTAGTCGAAAGGTATGAACTTTGGAGGCGGATGAATTTGGTAACTCTTCACCACTTGATTAACATCCATACTGTTTTGTGTGCAGCTTATAAAAACTTAGTGTTCTCACTAAGTGCAAGTTTGTGTATAAAATGTCATAACCTGTAAAGCAAAATTAGTTAGTTTAGTTAGCTAGTTTGTTTGTTTTGTCTGTGAGAGCTAAGTACTTTGACCAGTTTGTATTCTTCTTCTCCTTGTAAAGCTGAAAGAGCTTTTCAACCGTTTTGCTCCCATAACTTATAGCTTAGTATAAGTCGTGCTACAAACCCTAGAACTAATCGTCTTTCGGTTTATTCTTTCTCTTGTGGCTTTTGATACCTCAGGTTCACATTTGACTCTTATTTTGTACCTTATTTTGCGGCAGAATTATTTTTGATTCGGTTGCTAGCTAAATTTGCTTTTCTCTTCTGCAGGGTGGAGATGGCTTTGTTGGTTGTTACTACGATACTGTTGACTTCAAAACCGTCGTTCGAGCGGGTTATAGACCTGAGGCTAGTGAATCTAATCACCTCTATAATCCTTCTGACGATGAGGTATGCTTCTTTCTGTCTTGAGCTTACAAAGGAAAGGTTTTATCCGTTTTTGATCAAGGAAATACCCTCTGATCGCGGCTGATAATAAACTGTGCAAAAAATAATTGTTTTGCATAAATAGATGGAATAGTGAAAATGTCATGCAAGAAAGTCGTTGTGGTCATCCCTCCTTCCAGTTCATTTATGAATGTATTCAGAATTGCGGTATTTGATGGTGTTCCGTCACCGTGACTACCGTTTTATAGTACCTACGTCCTCTCTGAGGAGGTTGCACAAGGGTTTGGAACTATGCAGGAAACATTTATATGCTGTCATTATAAAGTGGTTGGTGGACTATTAGTTCAGTAATAACACTAACGGAATGGCATGCCATAAAAACAAGGACTGACTTATATGAAGATCGAAGATTGCTAGCTAGGCCTCTTTTCACTTTTGACAGAAACTACTCATCACTACGGGAGGTGATCTCGGGAGCTCATATGTTGATGCACAGCACTACCTGCAGTGTCGCTTCAGACGTCGTGTAACTCCTGTGCGAATGGCAAATCAGCTTAAGGATCTGGCGCCACCGAATGCCTATTATCTCATCATTCAACGTGGATCTGACCCGCTGAGAACGAGCTTTGGGCAGCTCTATCCTGGTGGTGAGGCCACATCCAACATCAGTGCTATCATAACTTCGTAAGTAAATCACTATCTCATCTACCCCTTTGTTCAATGCCTCCAATACTTTGTGATCCTTATCTTTGATGCCACACAAATGCACGGCATTTGATGTCACACCAACTTAAATGTGGTTATGTACCTTATTTGAGTTCATACTCACGGTTTTAATCAGTATTGGAATAATCTGATTCGGCTTTATGAACACCTTTGTACTTTTTCTTCACCACTCTCTTATCCATATTTCGAAACTTAAGACCGTTTGCATGGTCTGAATTCTGTTCTAAAGCTTCTTTGAGCCCTCTCATATTGCTAGTAGAAGGCGATTAACCTTTTTATGGCGTCGTTACGAAGAAATTTGTTTCTTAAGTCAATCCAAGCGTACAGCGATCTTGGCATTGACGATCTTTGCATAACGCCTAGTCTAGTTTCAGCGAATATAAAATTGAAATAGGATGAAGCTGAAAGTTGTGATTGCTTCAGTATATGGTGTCAGGAAACTTTTCGTCATCTGTGAGGTGGCGCCATTGTTAAACCAATCGGTCATTATTGCAATTGGCTATCTCACTAACGAGGCAGAGAATTTTCTTGATAGCCACTTTTGTTTATTATCCACAAAAAATTAGGTCCTTAAATGAAATCAGTCACACTATCGTGGAAAATGCTCCTACTTAAAGTCGCGTCATTGTTTCTTTATTTCCAATCAGTGAACTCTATCCGGTCCGATTCTTTAACTCCTTCACTAATTCGTGTCTTGATTGAACCTACAAAAACTATTTTTAAGTTTGGTCTGCTTAACGATTTGAGTCTGTTGGTGCATTTGGCTCGTTTGATGCTGCTTCTTTCGCGCTAAATTCTACAATGTTTTGTTTGAATCTTTTTTCCACTGATTCCTTCAGTACTTGTGATGTCTATGTATGACTTTGGAATTCTCATTTTTTATTTTTAATGCTGCAAAGAAAAGATTATAAAGTGATTGTTTACTTTCTCTTTACAATGGCATTGAAGTACGTAATGTGGTCAACCTATGCTGATATTTGGCTGCCTGCAACAGCTTAGAGGCTTGAGTCTTGAAGGAAAGCTTTTGCACAATTTCTGTATCTTCTAAATCGTAGTTGAACTCTTAGCATAAGTCCTTCATCTGACTGTGACTGCGTAGTAGCCTACTCTGCTGCTCGTTTTGAGTTCGCAATGTTCTAGGGAAGACCGAGTAATTTTTTCGCATTATTGTCATCTGATAGTTTTCTTCTAAAGTTTTGTTAGAGAAGCTTTCTTTCTTTCAGTTCGTTTATTACTATCATTTACTGGGCTCCATTCTTAAGTAACCAATCAACAACCTTATCATAAATTTTTTTTTCTTACATTATTCATGCCTGGTCATCTTCCCTTCAATTGTATTTTTCTTCTGTTCTTCTGTGAGATTTTTAATTCAGTCCTTTGTTTATCACTTTGCTTATTGGTAAGTTGATGAAACAACTTGAAGGGAACAAGTGGAAAACTGTCTATAGGTAACCGTGTTTTTTAGGACGCTTTGGTGTGATTGCCACCACCACTACCTTTCCCCGATTTTGTAGTCATGTTCAGTTCCACCTCACAACCGACAGTTGACCACCCTTTACTATTGAAGTTCTTCCCATCTTTACGTTTTATTGTTGTGAAAGACCATGAAAATTTTAGAATGCGCACATTTGTATTTCAATTAGCTAATGTCATTGCTCTCTGCCGTGCTCCTGTCGTAGCAACAGATGCTCAAACACTGTGTTTCTTTTATCGTAACTAATAATGCAAAAGTGATTGCCTGAAAAATCTTGCCACAACCTGATCATTAGTTTGTCGCCTTATTACGGACGCTCCTCATGGATTTTCTGTACTCTGAAACGATCCAAAGGAGTGCAAAACCTAGTTTACGTTATCCTAATGTAATTTATAGCTTCCACCTATCTTCCATAATTTGTTTCTGTAACCTGCTTTAAAACTTTCATCAAAATACTACATGTTCAGCGGTAGCTTCTTATACATCAATCAACTTGGATTTACAAGTCTTCTACTGAATACTGGGAGTGTTTATCAGAAGATCTTTTTATTTCATCCGCGGTTTCTACTTAGATCACAAGAGAAGCAATACTGATGTGGATTCCTCCACTTCAGGCATCTCTGTCTCCTTGTTGAAAAGCATGTTGTCTTGTGCGGACTGGAGTCCGAATTGGGAAGGTTTAAGCTGATGCAATGCACGAAAACGATGCCTTTCTGAGATCTCCGCAGAATCTTACCCACCAGTAGTTTAACTTTTCCGACAGCAGTCCATTCCTCTACCTACCTAGGCGGTAGACAATGTGCTCCTTGCAGATTGCATATAATTTCAGTCACCAAGTCCTGCTCAATATCAACCAACAAAATTGGGCAAATATATTAGGCCTTGGAATTGAAAATTGATACGAAATAGCCTGCGAAATAGGCGTAAGAATCGATCAACTTGAGAATATCTACTTTCACTTTGTTGTAGTCACTGAAACCTAATAAACCTCAAACCTAATAAATTTGGTTAATTATCTGCATAATAGTCTGTGGCTATAAAAATGGCCGTTCGACACCATGAGACAGGAGCGTTAAAGTCAGGCTGAACTTATGAGTTTCCGTCAACCTTTTCCTACTGTTTACTTCGACTTGGACAATTCGTAGTATTTATTTTTTGTAGTAAAACTAAATCATTCTAGTGCGGGCCGCTTCAACTCGTCGATAGCGCTGAATTTTTGATCTTGAAATACCCTTGGTGAATCATATTTTGAGGAATGTGGCAATGCTTCTCGAATGAGTTGATCATAAAGGTGTGAAATATGAGCTTGTGTGATTAAGTGGTTTGGTACACAATGTACGCTAACTTCCCGGAGTCATAAACGTTTGAGAATGATTGCCTTCTCTGTTGTTAACGCATTCAGTGGATTTGAATCTGTTTACAGACCACTCTACGACCTGACTGTCGGCTACTTGGTGTCGCATTCTCCGGGAGTGGTGAAAGCACACGGCGCAATGATGGTGCTGGCCTGGGTCTTTTGTTCCTCTGTAGGCGTAATCATCTCGCGCTATTATAAAGATATGTGGCCCAATGCCGGCCTTCTGGGTGAGAGGGTGTGGTTCCAAATCCACCGCATCCTCATGGGCATATGTGTGGGTCTCACATGTCTCGCTGTCATTCTTGCCTTTGTATTCTGCCAAGGCTACTCGGCGCTCAAAATCTACCCGGACTATATTCACCCTATCCTCGGTCTCATTGTTCTGTGCTTAGCTGTCATCAATGTGAGTTGCCATTGCCTCCATATTGTTTTCCTATTTTCTTGAGAGCACACGAATCTAGAGTTAATCCTATAATTTTGATATACAAGTGGTCTGAGGGGCCGGCGGAACTTTTTATTCGACTTCTTTCTCTTGAGTAATTAACACGCACTTTAATTGGCCAAACTTCCTCTTGATTTTTTTCCGATTACTCTCCAGCCCTTCATTACCTTCTGCCGTCCACATCCAATGCACAAGAACCGACCTTACTTCAACTGGACGCACTTTATCATTGGCACAATAGCTCACGTCCTCTCTATTCCAACCATCATGCTTGGTCTGCGAATGCCCGCAGCTGGTGTGCAGTTGCGAAGCCTAAACTATCCGCTCTGGATCCTTATCTTTTTCGTCATCTTCCAGTTCTGTGTTGAACTTACTCTGGAGATCCATGGTTGCATTCATTACCGACGTAATAAGCGTGAGTTTACTCCCCCAATTGATTATGGGCAATTTGTGCTTTTCTCTTCGCTATCCAAAAAATTCGTTACTATACTGGCATAATTTTATTAGCTTTGCGCATTCAGACCGGCATTAAGACTGTCTCGCTTCTTGCGAATAAACTTTCGTGATCGGGTACTTGAAGGTTTCTCTCAGGGACAAAAGATCTACAATTAACTATTTATGAACCTTTCTACAATTGGATACGATTCCAACAATGCTTAGCTTAATTCCTCCAACTTGTCTCGGCATTTTGTATTTGCTATTACTAGCAATTTTCCTGTCCTGTTTGCGCGTAAGGGAATTGAAATGAGTGCCGGAAATTCACTTCTTTGATGATAACTACGGCCTATCATTAACTTTCATTTCATTTTATTTTATGATAGAGGGACAAAATTTTTTACCGCTAAGACTCCAACTTAATAGGAGTCTTATACCTTGAGCGCGCCTCTTGGTTACCTTATGTAACTCATATCACGGTGCTTGGAATGGAAAGCCGATGCTTGTGTCGATGATCATTAACGTTGGTAGTCCCTCTAGCTTACCTTTTAAATTTTGAATCTCGTAGAGTTCGGTCAGAATTATGATTAGCGCCTTCACCACAAATGTGTTGCACTATTTAACTCATCAATCATCAAAATATGAGATTTTACATAGCTATAACTAATACGGTGTTTACAATCGCATGACTTGGTCTAACAAGCATACCGCAAATTGTTTGCCAACATGCCATTCTTAAGTTGTGACACCTTGCTGATGATTCCTGAGGCTTCGCCTAAAGATGCCAGTTTGATGCCAGCTAGTCACACGGTTGGTTTCGTCTCGCACGTGCATCCTTTTGGTCAGTCTGAATATTCAAGGCGTCTTCGGTCCAAATTATCCAGCGCTGTCAGCCCGCATTGAAGACTGAATCATGCTTCATACACACAAACTCACATATTTGCATACAAACGTTTTCTGCATGCCTTCACGCATGCAGGTGCACACAAATTGACCCACCTCTCATTTCACCCCACAATTCTTGTGCTAACAGACCGCCTATCTCATCGAGCCTACTTTGATGTCCACTTATTTTGCTGGTAAGATCTATCTTGATCTTTTGGCTTAATTCATTCGCTCTTCAACCAATGCTACGGACAAATTAGGTAAGTTTTAGGATACCCACTATATTGGTGGAACCAATCGCCGCTGAAAGGTGAAATATCCTAAAAGCTTGCCTTGTCACTCTGAGAGAAGGAAGTTGAAGTGGCGCACACATGGAACACTGGTGGCGGATTTGATGTATGGGTCAGTACGCTCTCCTTTTAAAAGCGTTCGCATCAAAGATTTGGTGATTCTTTTGCTTTGCTGGGTCTGCTCCGCCAAGGTGCCTGCCTTTTGAGTGGTAACTTTTTCGTCAAAGACATCTACTCACCGATTCGTATGTAGAATCGGGGTTCATAGAATGCGAAATAAAGGGAGTTTGCAAACTGTTGTCTTTTATTGTGCCTATCACAATAATGGTTTGTACCTCAGCTTACACGATCATGTAGTGCTACCAATCCATGTCAGAAAGTATTCAACAATCTCCTTGCCCTATCAGCTTTTCATGAAACCCGTCAGGTGCCATAGCCCTGTAGTTACTTTATCAGGTCATAAAGGCGTGTTACTGAGATAAACTCATGCGTTACAGATAAGAAGATAACATACAGAAACGAACTTGAACAGTATCAAAACGCCGTTCGCGTGGGTGGCGTCCCCATTCCTCGGCCTGTGGAACCAGAACCTTCTGTGAGTCATTTTACTAGAGTTACAGTCATAGCCACATCCCAAGCATAACTTTAACTTCATCGCCGTTTTCCGTCTTCAAGGGTCGCATCTTCAAATACTTCATGATCAGCCTTCACGCAACAGTGGCAGCCATCGTAGCTGTCATCCTTATCATCATTATCGCCGTCAACTGAGTAACAATTGTACGCTGGAAGCACACGCTTCCGACTTCTCTACCTATCTTATATTTTGGTCTCACCTGCATGAACAACGATATGCCACGTCAACACATACGTCATAGTTATTTTGTCATGCACGCCCACTATTGCTCCCTACTCTCGAAGTTCGCCTACCTTCTCCTTCCTACTTCCTTTTATCGAACACAAATGTGACTAGTCTTCCGTTATTTGCTTGTTCTTCTGTCATGCGCATATTCAAGCAACGTCAGTCGAAAATGAGGCGTTTTTAAAATAATGCAAAAAATTTATTTTACGTTACTGAAGCGATTGAAGTAGCTGAGATTACAAGGTACATAACATTGTGGCCCTCTAAATGTGATCCGAAAGGAGATGGGCTCGCGCTGTCTTTGCAATGCTCCGCTCCTTCACTAATCGTTCCTTTGCGGCAAGAAAACGACCCCACTGAAAGGAGAGTCGATCTCGGATGAAAAGCAGCCGATGAAGAGTCATCCGACCTGATTCAGTGGCTAGAATGTACTGGAAGGTGTGTTTGCGTATCTCGATGCTAAGCTCCTGCAGCCCAATTACCAGACGTTGAAGAAGACCTTCTAGCACTCCCTCAGCCGACGAAATCCGAGCTATGTGTACGTTCAGGTGCTCCACCAAACGGAATGAGTCCTCGATGGTAGTGGAATTGGTAGAATGATTTATACGTTTGTTCAGGAATTTTACAAGGTTGGAATAGAGGTTGGTGGTGGAAAGAAGAGCTTTTGGAAAGACTATGGAATTGGACTTTCTACAAAACAATACATTTTAAAGTCATTATGGACAACCAACTTCTCACATTTCTTTGCCCTACGAAAGAAACAAGATAGTTTTTAAAAGGAGATTTAGTAGGAACGAGAGAGTAGGCCGCTCAATTCCCAAAACGGCTGCATGGCTCATGCGCAGTTGGTGCAAATGTGGATTGCCGAAGCTGACAACACGAAAAATGCATTACTAACCAAAGTCGTTCACTAATTAGCCAGGAATTCAAAAAGTTGTTTAAATATTACATTCGGAAGGTTGGGATCGATCATGTAAAGTGACCATGTAAACTGTTAGCAACCTATCATGCTTACAGGAGGATCAATGATCCAGCAAAACAACAATCGCCAAGGTTTAGTATGAACTTGATGAACGCGCTGTAAAAGGATTTAGGACCAATGCAGATATAGGCTGAAAAAGTGGTGAATCCGTCTAGCAGTAAAAAAATGTCTTCACTCACTGATGCCTTGGAAAGAGTATAATGATGGGGATGTACTCCACTGTTAAAGACCACGGAAGCTGCACAACATCGACGTCAACGCTGAAATACACAATGACTAATAAAACGAACCAAATCACGTCTACATAGCGGATTAAGTACACTGATCTATTAAGCAATAGACCAAAACCCGCATCCTTGAATGGATTTGAATCAAATAAAGACGAAACCAAAGAATGAAGGTGCACCTTCATGAGCCTAGTTTTATGCATGAAATCTTGGCCTAGGGATGTCGTCTTCAACATGCATGACTGCAACCTACACTACGAAAAGAAGAGACTTTTGATGTGCAAGGTGTTTGGCCACCGACTGAAATTCGTAAAGGACACCCCGTCCGTGAGTTGTGTAACCACAATGGCGACCAAAGAAGAGCACGACCACATCCTTCGAATTCAGGCCAATTAGCGATTCCAGGTGAGCAGCGCTATGAGCTTGGTGCAGAAAACCAACTCGTCGCCTACTCACTACTCTTTCATCGGAAAAGAGGTGTCGCTGAAGAGTGCCGTTGTGAAAATGGGAAATGAAGGTGGCTGTAATGCGACAGAAGTGGCTAACACCATCATTAAGTCCTGGAATAAAAATGTTACTAAAAATATCAACTCACCCAAGTTTTCATAAGAGAGACTACTCTTCATTGTGTACACTACCTCAGCCTTGAAAAGAGGGACAAATTCTGTTATGATCCGTAGAAGCACTGGAACCATTACCACAAAATCAGACACAAACCTTAGAATCCACAATGGCAACCTTTGGTAGGTTTGATTTGTTGCCAAAGAAAACTTCGACCCAAGGAGGTGGATTGTGGATCGAAACAGTGGAGAAAGTTAGAGAACCGTTACCCCATCTATGGCAGCCAAGAGCCTCAATCTTTGGCGTTCTAACGTGAGCATAGTTTACTACCTTTGCTTTGGAGCAAATACGACTGTACCGGGGCCTTGCTTGTTCACTAATCAGGGCCAAAGCACGTGTACGAACCTTTGCTGTATCAAAAACGCCAACCTGGTCGGTTGCCTCTGCGACCGCAAATTCACAGCACAGCCGATTGATTCTAGCTACTGCTAGCATACCGTCAATACCTTTAACCGAAGTAGGAGCTTCATAGGGATTGAATTCTTTTTTCAGTAAGTGGTTAGCCAGACTTATAAAATCTAGGAGGGGAAGTAAGAGTAGAATCTCATACCCTCTCGTAAAGGGCTCCTTTGAAGACTGGAAGACACCAAATGAGAGACAGAAACGAACAACTGATTAGTGGGAAGCGATAAGATCGATTTATCAAGACCACAAGATGTCCAAGAGTCGTTGTAGGAACGACTAGAGAATGAGTGAACCTTTTGCCACCAAAGAGAACAAGCAACTGCCGTTTCACAATGATCACTTTGATCGGATAGAAGTCTTTTGTACAGACTTTGCCGCTGATCAAAAACACTTGGGACGAATGCCTTAGATTGCGTGGCGTTATCGTCCCGCTGTCTGCAAATGGTATATTCCAACTGAAGAGATTTAAACTAAAATCACTTGAAATAGATGGTGTATTAAAGCGAAGCAAACCATATAGACATCCTGATCATAAGAGGAGTCAAGTTCACTGTGAGAATCAGTGAAGAGGAAAATAAGGGGACTGTGATCGCTTATATTAACTGATGAGGGGAAGGCGGTCGAAAGATGAGGAAGGAGAAGAAGGTTGGATCCCTTAAAATTTGCTACGATTACCCGCAACTCTTCAAGAATTGCTGCCGTCAATTCCCTGACAGACCAAGTTTCGGAATACGGGTAGTTCAAAACAGGTGAAGCCTAAAGAATGTGAAAAGTTAGTAGAAACTCTCACCAATTTCCCTGATCGGAAAATAATGTTTATCGGCACAGAAGTATTTAAGGAGCACGCATCGGAGCTTGTCGGCATTATGACAAAGGCGAAATCTCTGCTTATCGAAAATGCAAATCGAGAGAGTAAAATGGTATCGTGTCCAGACATCACGCGGGTGGCGAGTTCATGGAACTGGAGAAACGTAGTTGATGGATGCGGAGAAGCATCGATTCTTCCAACAATTAAAAACTACAGACCAATAAATGTATTGCTTTACTGCCTGCTATAATACAACCCTCCAGTCATTAAAATGAAGCATGCCTCATAAGAAGAAACTAGGTCTCTCAATTCTCTGCAATTGTTGGCTTGAACGAGAGGATTGTAGATGCGCTTTGCCTTTCGCAGCATTTTTGGGAACCTTTCAAATGACCCTGGACTACTTGCACCGTATCCATGTGACCAAACTAGGCTGGGAAAGCTGTATGATGGGTATACCGAGGTGCATGGTGCTTTCCAACAGCTGGAAGCGGTAACGGGTAGCTACAGACGAACTCAACAAAATAATTGATTTACATGACCAAAGTACGACCCCATGAATAACTCCACATCATCCGTGTGCCTTAAGGATTGTGCATCCCATGGGGCATAGAGATAAGACAAGTGATTACCCTTCAAATTATGTGCCACGCCGTGAGAAAGGTTGTCAATAACAAGAGACCGATTAAATAGAGGAAATTCTGCTTGTAGAAGGTGTAAGGATATGGAAAGTTTCCTAAAAGATTAAAAAAGTTCACATAAGATAACCTACGGCGTATAGGAAATCCAGAGGAAAATAACAACACTAAAGAAGGTGACAATATCCATTCGTTTAAAGAAGAACAACAACACCTGTCTCGAACAAAAAATCAGGCTGCGCAAATAAGCGAATCCACAAGCAAACATTATGGGATCGACGCAAGGACCAGAGAGAAATGATAGGGAAGCATCATCACAATTCCTATCGCACACAGCATCTACAGCTCAGTAAAACTATAGTAAATTCAAATTTATCAAATAATTGTAATAACTCAAAAAATGTCACTTGCAGAACAAATACATTAAAAATATGTAATATGTACAGTAGGTTTCAATAAAATGTTTTAATTTGGTAATTGACGCGTTACAACTGTAAACTATATATAATACTCTGCATATGTGACCATTTAATGTCTGGCAGTTGCTTTTTTATTTGTCTGGCTCCTTTAGTTGCGAGCTGGACATCGGGTATGCACAGGACTAGTCCCTTTGTTCCCATTGGGACAAATGTATTCAGCTCTTTTACCACTTTTACTTCATGATGGAAAGTCTCGGAACGCTACACTATCAACAGTTTATTTACGAAATGCTTTAAAAGTAAATAATGTACGTTCTATACGCGATGTTGGCGCTATTTTAAATGTACTTTTTTCGCAATAAGCAAATGAAATGGCATCTTGATACAGAGCTTTAAGAATCCCAATAATCAAAGAACGCGCTAAGCTGGACATTTTAGGAGAGGGTGAAAGAAGTAGGCTTCGGCTCGGCGCGGAGGCCATCAGAGGCGTAAAAGAACAGAATGAAAACCAAGATAATCGCAGGTGGTCACATAAACAAAGAATCATTGCATTGTTTTCCAGGATACTCTCCTGATCTTTCACCTCAGCCTTCATAAGTGTAAGGCCATTTGGGGAAATTATATCCGTCATCTTCAGGGGTGTAGGCTGAAAACGGTCTGTGGATACTAAAGCGTAGAATTCAGTAAGTGATGCTGAATGCATGTTTTCCAAGGAGGACAAAGTAACTAGGCCTGAGCATGATCCGAAAGCCAGCCTTCGAGTACAAGGCCCAGAAAAATTCTAAAGCGACCGCCGAATTTCAGGTAGTCACATAAAACTAGCATTTCAGATACGGCTGGTGACATATAAGCTATTCATGTGAAGAGCCCTTGCGCTCCTACATTACGGAGTTTGCATTAAACTTCCACCTCCCTTTTACGAGGGACAGTCTAAAAGACAAATAACCATTACAGCTGCATTGCTCTTCTCTTCGTTTAAACGCTATTCTCGGTGATCCTCATGGTAGACGTCCCTCGCCAAACATTACAATGTATACAATGTAACAAGGACAACCACAAGACAGTGACTTCAGTCATCAGCTGCCATAACGCTGAAAGGCTATATTAATCTTCAACCGGATCCTGAATTCCGTTTGGTTTCAGGAAAATAATTGTATGTGCGAATATCTGTTGAACATCAAACGCGTTTTGAACCAGACGCTGGTACACTGGTGTAATAAAGACTTTCATTTGGGGAGGCCGAAATGAACGCAGTTTTGGATGTATTCGACTTCACTTATGCCTTCTTCCACCCTATGGAAAGCCTCGGGACGCTACACTGGTGGCATTGGAAAGCGAACTCGACATTTTTTAACGACTTCTAGGTATATAGTGCTTTTGAAGACCTTCTGCTCCAGTAGAGTTTATGTCTCTGCGGCTTGTTCTTCATTGGTTGTTTGTTAAAAGCGACATAGTGGCCGGAAAAATCTATTGTCAAACAGACACCACTGTCTCATTGCCATCCTTCGTTTGCGTTGCTAAACTTTGCCAATTAATCGACTGATTTCCGGAAAAGAAGAGTACGAACAAGCCGATGAGCAACGGTTCGATCGGATGATGCACTGGTTCAATACATGCACATACTCCAACATCGGGTTCCCTTGGCCAGAAAGTCGAAAACGCCCTTTTCACGACAAGAAGGTTATAATCCAACCAGCAGACAAGACTGCAAAGGAATTCTATCTTTTAGCGAGTGAATTCAAGATTAACAAGCGTGTTTTGGCGTTGTGCACCGGTAGTCATGAGCTATGCATGCGTAGGAGGAATTCTGAGTCTATCGAAGTGCAGTAGATAAAGATACAGGCAAAAAGGGACGTGAAATTAAGGAGGCGCATTTACCTCGGTGGTGGGAGAATCCTTAAATTCTTCATAACGAAAGAATTTAGACGGACGTCTGCATTTGGTTTCGCCTCATTCTCGTGCTCCACAGACAAGGTATTAGCAACCGAGGCGACATCGCCGTGAAACATCTGGAGAAGTTTCGAGTCGGAATTTCACCTTCAAAATTCGTGCTTAGGTGTCGGAATTGACACTACGGTTCTCCTTACATAGGGGACAGTGGCTCATCCCGTTTCCTCTGTAACACCTA